TAGAATCTTGTATTGCATTTTTAGACTCTTCTCTCTGGGGTGGCAGGAGTGAGGCTATGTGGTCATTGTGTTCCTGTGCAGACAGGTCGTAGAGAAGCCTCAACTCGATAAGTATTAGACTCGGTAGCTATGACGATGCCCCACAGGTCATCAAGGTAAGAGCGCTGCGCAGGTGGCAAGGGCACTGCTGATGGTAGCTTGCTGAATCTCATGCACAGCACTGCCCCAGCAGACAAAGGGGCACTGGTGGCCCTAATCATTGGGACAACACAAGAAAATTAAAAGCAAGGGGACACTTCATAAAGATTCTTTTACATTCATGACATGTCTTCAGGCAGGTGCTTATCTGAAAACAGATGCCTAAACGTCCAAGAGTAGAGTACTAGCTCCTGGCTCCTGGGGAAGAACAGAAAAAGAGGGGCTTGTGTGGTGTGGGAAGACATGTGACCATGGTCCCAAACAAAACCCAGGACAGCCTAAACAACCCCATACAATAAAGCTCTACTTTAGAGCTATAGTAACGAAAACAGCTTGATAATGGCACAAAAACAGACAGGTAGACCAATGGAATCGAATTGAAGGCCCCTATATTAATCCATACACCTATGACCACCTGCTTTTTGACAAAACACCTAAAATTATACAATGGAAAGAGGAAAGCATCTTCAACAATTGGTGCTGGCACAACTGCATGCTGATGTGTGGAAGACTACAGATAGATCCATATCTATTGCCATGCACAAAACTTAAGTCCAAGTGGATCAGAGACCTCAACATAAATCCGGCCACACTGAACCTCTTAGAAGATAAAGTGGGAGGTACCCTTGAATGAATTGGTTCAGGAGACTGCCTCCTGAACATAACTCCAGTAGCACAGACACTGAGATTAACAATAAATGGGACCTCCTGAAACTGAGAATCTTCTGTAAGGCAAAGGACACAGTCAACAAGATAAAATGGCAGCCCACAGACCAGGAAAAGATCTTCACCAACCCCACATCTGTCAGAGGACTGATCTCCAAAGTATACAAAGAACTCAAGAAGCTAGCCATGCCATTAGTCACAGCACTCAGGAGACAGAGGCAGGCGGATCTCTGTGAGTTTGAAGACAGCCTGGTATACAAAGCTACGCAGAGAAATTCTATCTTGAAAAATGGAGGAGGAGGACGAAGAGAAGCAGCTAGGAAACAAACAGGACCCTAAGAGTGATATACATGGACCCCTGGAGAAGAAGAAAGGGACAAGATCTCCTGAGCAAACTAGGAGCATGGGGTGGGGGGGTAGGAGAAAGAGGAGGGGAGAAAGGGGGGGAGGAGAAAGAACATGAGGGATCAGGAAGGTCAAGTTGGGGGAAGAACAGAGGAAAGCAAGAAAAGGGATACCTTAATAGAGGCAGCCATTATGGGTTCAAAAAGAGATCTGGATTCCCAGGAATCCAGAAGAATGACCCCAGCTAAGAATCTAAGCAATAGTGGAGAGGCTACCTTAAATGTCCTTTCCCTATAATGAGAATGCTGACTACCTTAAATGCCATCCTAGAGCCTTCACCCGGTAGCTGTTGGAAGCAGAAGCAGAGATCCACAGCTAAACACTGAGCTGATCTCCAGGAATCCAGTTGCAGAGAGGGAGGAGTGATGAGGGAAGGGGACACCCACAGTAACAGCTGACCTGAGCAAGGGGGAGCTCATGGAGCCCAGTCTGACAGCCCGGGAGCCAGCACAGGACTGAACTAGGGGCCCTGAACGTGGGGAACAGTTGGGGGACCTGGGCAGTCTATGGGGCCTCTGGCAGCGGAACCAGTATTTATCCCTGGTGCATGAATGGGCTCTGGGAGCCCATTCCCCATGGAGGGACATATTCTCAGCCTAGATACACAGAGGAGGGCCTTGGTCCTACTCCAAATGATGTGAAAGACTTTGATGATCCCCCATGGAAAGCCTCACCCTCTCTGGGGAGTAGATGAGGGGTGTGATGGGGATTGGTGGGGGGAATGGGAGGATGGGAGGGAGACCAAACTGGTTTTGGTATGTAGAATAAGATTGTTTTAATTTAAATAAAAATTAATTTTAAAAACTCTGAATCCAACTCCTTTGTTCAACTTCTCCTGACCATTAACCATAACAACTTGTAACCAACCCCCCTAAACAATGACAAATAACTTATTAAATAAACAAAAAATACCAACCATACCTCTTGGGAATGTGGGTGTCATATTCCTAAATTCACTTCCTGCTGTCTGGGGGTTGACAGCATCTTTAGGGGACCCTGAAAAGAAAACTGTGGGTTCATTGTCATTCCTGGGAGGAATGTATCACTTGTCCATTCTGTCTGATGGGAGAGTGCTGGGCTTGCCTCAAGTCCTGGCTAGAACCGTGTGTAAGGCTGGACCATCTCAGCTAGGCAGCTCCAAACTGTCCTAAGTAGGTTGTGGTCCAAAGCTGATGTCCAGGTGGTGTTTTTCAGCTCTGTGGTGCATAGTCTCAGTGGAATCTTCCCTGTGGGGCTTAAGGCTGTGTAGCATGTCTGAGTGGACAACAGAGGTGGTGAACAGCCTGGCTGGAGACAGCTGCAGCTGCTAGTATGGAGGCTTGAGCTGAGAGGGCAGCCAGAGGAGGCGTAAGGACAGCCCACAATCCCGGGGGGGAGAGAGCCAGCTATCTGAAAAGCTCACGTGGGATCCTGCAAGGCAGAACCCGCTGGTCTAGGGCAGGTGAGTCTTTGGCAGCTCAGGTGCCCCTGGAGATTGGGGAGTCCAGTGCAGTCTGTTGCAGAGAGGCTGCAACAACAACAAATCCGACATTCCCTTAGAGGCATAGGGAAAAAGAGACACCCTGGCCAGCTGGGGTGTGACAGCAGTGTCCCCACACGGAGCTCTGATCTATGCTGGTGCGGCAAAGCCACAGGCAAGTGTGGCTTTCCTGAATTCGTGATCCATGTTGGGTGCCAAAATGGATCACAAGTTCTAACAGGTCTCAATTTTAAAAACAACATAAAAAGCCCGGAGTCAGATGCCGGGTTAAATGCTGAAAGATCAGAGATGAAAGAGCAATCACAGTCACACCTGACCCCAGCTCTCCTCCCTCCAGCCAGCCAGCTCACTTCCTGTCTGTCTGTACAGACCTCCGCACCTCTATGGTTAGCTAGTGCCTATCTCTGTTCGCTGACTCTCAGGCAAACTTTGTTAAGATTATAAACAAGTTATCACTGCAGTGGTGTCTGCCTCACATGTGGAGTTAAAGCATGTTTGCAGTCACAGAACAAACTAGAAGCATGGTTTTGGCCCGGTTGTCATAAATATCATGGTTGGAGTAGGAGGAGGGAGAGAATATGCAGTTTTCTCAAGGTTATTCTGAAGTAGAGTGACATGTTGATGAGCCAATAAGTCCTAGAGTTTAGGGGCATGGAGGGGTGAGGGGGCTGGAGGGGAGGGGCTGGGAGAAGGTGGGGGGACAGGGTCTAGCTGTGATCAGCTCACATCTACACATCCCTACCAAGGACAGCCATGGAATCCCTATGGAAAGACTTTCCAACTTAAAGGGAATCGGCTCCATTTTGATTGCTAAGTTGCCTCACAGCCTGACTATCCTGAGATTCCTAAATGAGCTCCCTCACAAAAAAAAAAAAAAAAAAACAAACAAACAAACAAAAAAAAACCCAAAAACAAAAACAGGCAAACAAAAGCAAAAAAAAAGTGAGGTAAAGGTTTCAAAGGGGTAGGAAAAATGAATATGATGTAATGATTTCACTAGCCCAAAGATAAATGAAAGGGGGTTTATTGGGGCACACTCACACCAATAATCATAAAGAAGCCAGGTAGCCCTTCTCTGCCCTTCCTGTCTGCACTGAAAGCCCCATCCTAACTTCTCAGGATTCCTGAGCTCCTTCTCTTGGACAGCAGGTGTTTGAGCACAGAGCACTGAAGGTTCATGACTGCTAAACACCCTGGAGATAGGAAAGAAGGGAACAGCTTGGTTCTGTCCAGCACCAGACAAGGTGATCCATCGACTAGTGATCTATCTAAAAGAGAGGCAATATTAATCAGGCTTTCTCTTGAGGTTTAGAAGTGAGGATCGTGAGGGTAATTTTCTTTGGCAGGAGGAGCTGAGAGGCCACTTGGGTTCCCTTTCTGGGTAAACAAAAATGAAGGCAACATCAAGATTGTGGTTCCGTGTGTCCTTCGACCAGTGACAGAGCCCATAGTAGAGACTTGGTGAGGTTCCTGTGCTGTCCTGAAATGCAGGCTAGCTTGCAGTTCTCATGCGGGAGCCCCTGTCTGCCAGCAGCTCGTGTGCCCGGGGTCCCAGACTGGGACTCTCCTCACCTCACCCCTGAGGTGCCAATGAGACACTTGGATTCTAGCGATGATTGGCTCACACAAGGGAAGGAAGAAATCCCTATGCAGAGAGTCCTGCCCCTTAAGAGTCCCTCAGAATTTTGATACCTAAGCCCCGCCCCTCCCACGGTTCCTACAGGATCACTGCCACCTCCACACTTCTGGGGATCTTGACCCCTTCAAGGGGGATGTTTTCCCTTAGAATGGCCTTGGCACCCCAATGCACATACATGTTCAATTTCCCTGTCTCAAGTCAAAGAGAGCAAAAGGGATTTAAGAAGCTTCAAAGGCCACCAAGACCAGGTATGACTAAACATTTCAATCTATGATGCAATAGTGTAATCTGTCCCATGTTACAATGGACCAGCAACCCCTAGGCAGAACATGGCCTTCTTTACTCACTGCAACAGGAACAGCCCCGAGAGGACCGTGGGCAACCGGACCTCTAAAATTCCTGTTGTCCTCAGAGGCCAAAGTGACTGACAGGTGACCCTCATTGGGCCTATTGGGCCTCACCCCGTCATGTCCTGGGGCTGTGAGCACCAACTGCCAGCGTCACCAACTCATGTGACTGCCTTTCCTACACCACCATGAGGGCACTCGCCTTACTTTGATTAGGACTGAGAAAACAGTGACGACAGCAATAAAGAATGTCACCTGTGGGCCTCAGCCCTCATCAACTGTGCCCTTTATTCAGTAAAGGAACGGTGGCCTTGCCAGATGGAGCCGGCTAAGCAGGGCGTGGGCTGTCCTCAGCCCTGGTGGTCTGGGAGGGAGACACAGTGTATGAGGGGTAGAACATACTGTCTGAGTTGAGAGGCGGTGGGTTGCGGTCAAGTCCTGCAGAGCCAGGAATGTTTCTCCAGCACCAAGAACGCCCTGGCGACAAAGGAACTCTAAAAGCAGTCACATTGAGAGTCTAGTGACTCTGGCGTTGCTTCTGAGGCCATGGAGGGTGTGGTGGCATCGGTGGCTGAAGAGGTGCCCCAGGCTTGAGGTAAGAGCAGCAACCACGCAAGAGCTGCTTGGAGCAGGTAGCTCCTGCTCCTGGAGACACAGTGAATGTGGCGGCCCAGTAACAGCAGGGCCCTGAATAGGGACACCTGAGACTGGAGAAAGGCCAACAATAGCTCACTGTCCCTAGAAAGGATGGAGGCAGGGTGGGCCTCGCCTCACACAAGGCCAGAGAGCGGACGCCTGCCCAGTCTCCTGAGCCTGGCGCTGTGGGAATGAGGGCTCCTAAGAAAGAGGTTCCGGGCCATGTTCCTTCAGGGTGAACTGGATTGTCCCGTGGCTTTTCACACCAAAGGAACCCACTGCCTCTGGAAGGCTGTGCTTTTGACCATCTTAGGCCAAACACAAAGGTCAGGTCAAGCAGAGAGAGTAGCTTATACCACACCGGGGTGCGACTTCTCCCGATGAAACTGCAGAGAGAGACAAGCCGTGAGAAGCTCCACTTCAGGCTGGGACGGTCTGGGGCTCAGGGAGCAAGCCTAACCTTGCGCAAAGCAGCAAAGGCAGGGCCAAAGGTGGCTTTGACCTCCACACGGTCTCGTATCCAGGCTGGCAGCTTGGCCAGGACAGGAGGGCGGGCATACCGATGATCCAGGAGCACAATGCTGGCAAAGTCTGTCTGGTGCCTAATGGCCCTGCCTGAGTAGACACACTGGGTTGGCACACTGAGTTCAACTTGCCTACCAACACTGCACGTCCTTGGGCCCCTCCCTTGCTCCTCAAATGGACAATACAGCAGTAAAATCCCTCCTTCCTTGACCCAGCCATCTGCCCCAGCAGCAGCCCCAGACTTACCTATGGATTGGTTTACAGCCTTCATACACAGATTCTCCACCAACACCTTCCCTGGGGAGGGCTGACCTTGTGTCCTAGGCTTAGGGAAAAACAAAAAATAGAAAACAGCAGATCAGAATCTACTCTTGCCTGCCTGGTACCCAAGGCTTTCCAGCAAGGCCAGGTGCCAACATCTTGTGCTCTAGGATATTTTATAGAAAAGATCAAGGTGGCTGGAGGTCTACTCCACCTCCGCAGCCTCTAAGGAGTGAAAGCATCCATACAATATGCTGTCACAATGCAGGTCCCTGTCATCAAGTCCTAGGGATCTCCACTTCACTTCCTCCCTAGCCCTATCCTTTGGTCGCCTGAAACACTGCAGATACTCACCAGGGTCTGATCCAAGTAGGCCATCTTCTCTTGCAGCTCTGGAGACTTAATGTTGGGGTACGGCATCCCCACCATCACCACACACCTGTCGTGGGTTACATGACCCAAGGCCTAACTGATCAGATATCCATGGGGTCATCATCCACATGAGAGCAACTGAATGCTATTATGAGCCAGTTGTGTGCAGTTTAAGTCATGGCTGCCCACTTCCCTGTCCTACTAAGACAGACGGAGATGGGTTTCAAACACTCCATCCACAGCCTGCAGACCCCAAGCAGGCCTCATGGGTGCGTGCAACCCTACGGCATGACTGGGCAGATAGGGCCCTGTGCCTTCAGCCCCAGCAGACAAGGACACCACACTTACCGGCCCAGGTCATCAGAGAAGTTGATCCCTTCACTCATCTTCCCTCCAACCACAGAGAGGAGCAAGGCCCCTGTCAGATGGCCTCCTGCCTGACCGCAGAACTGTGGGGAGTTGCTGAGTCAGCCCCGGGAGCCTCACACGTGCTCCCAGATGCCCCGCACAGCCTCACTTGCTCTCACCTTAATGCACCTGGAATAGGCCATCAGCACCTGCTCCACCTGGCCGGCTCCCTTGGGCTCTTGGAATAGCTGAAGGTAAAGGCCACCCAGTAAAAGGCCTCATGGAATCGGGCTTCGGGGACCCCCCCACCCCCGCCGTGGCCAGTGTCCCAGGCCCAGACTTGGTAGATTTAGGAGACGATCTGGACCATGCCAAGACATAAGACTGAGGGACCCTAGAAAGAGCTAGAGGTAGCAATGCCCTTATAAACAGACTAAGGGACACTCACCTTTTTCTTGACAGACAAACGTGCTAGCAGGCCAGTCTTGTCCCAGTGAGCATGTATCTGACGCAGGTACTCATAGGAAGGAAAGAAGCATACCACCCCTCCAGGGACCACGTTGCACAAGTTACAGAGGACACGGCCTGTCTCCTCCATCTGCAGAAGGCAGACAAAGAGCTGGCCGGGAACAGGTCCCATGGCACACCCAAGCAGGTCTCCTTCCACAGTGTGGAACAGACATGCCCAACTGGGGTTCTGCTGAATGCCTGCCTGTATGACACATCCCATCACCGGCACCCCAGAAGGGACTAGACTTCCGGTATGCCACTGAGATCTCCCTAAGTTCCATGAGGGTCTCTATTCAGAACAAATTAACACTTTCGATGCCACAGGAACTATGCCCAAGAAACGCATTATTGCAGGGATAGAGGCAAGCAAGAGCACCCCAAGTGGCCAACCTTCTTCCATCCTGCATTAACAGGGTGCCGGGAGCTCGCTACAAGTCTATGGAGAGGAAGGCAACCAAGACCCTCCTTGATAAGTATCTTTTAAATAAACAATCTACTTGTGCCAGATGTGACCATGTGCCCAGTGCCAATGCTGGTGAGAACCCTCCCTGGCCATGCAGCAGAGAGGAGGGGGCGTGGGCTGGCACTGACCATCTGAGGCAGCTCTCTTCTCTGGTAGGTGAAGTCCAGTTGTTGGTTAGAGGGCCCACTGCACATAATAAGGGGCAAGATGTTGTCTGGAGGGATCACATGACCTGGTGATACCAAAACAGTGTCCAGGTAGGTAGGGCAAATTCTCAAATCATTTCCCCAATTAGCAACAGCAATTTGAAATGCACACGGCTTCTCTCTGCACCAACACACCCAATGTAAGCAATGTGGCACAGAGCACAGGACTTTAGACCCTGGGATACAGTGCTGGTGAGCACAATCACTAAGAATAAGGTTCCAGTCCAATGGTGTCCTCTGCTTTTGGCCAAGGTTAACTAAATCAAGACCTCTACCCTCCGCACAGCTCCTTACCACAGGAGAACTCCACCACCCGCTCAGCCTCCACTCCAGAACATGCCAGCAGCTGATCCTGAAAGTCAGACACCTGTAGCCAGAACAAACATCAGGGCCTTGTGACCTCAGAGTTTGGGGTTCTGTGCTCCCCAGTGCAGGTTAAGAGAAGTCTGGGACAGGAGCTCATTCAACAGAGCAAAGTACACGGAAGGGCCAGTGACCTTTAGCTAAAACAGCTCACAGAGAAGGTAAGAAAGAAAAGCAGAGAAGCTGACACATTTGGCTCCGGGCCCTTTCTAGGGATCAAAATCAACAGTATAAAATGCTATCTACAATATACAAAGAACTCAAAAACTGAAACAATAAACAATGCTGTCAGGAAACGGACCCACAAAATGAAGAGTTCTCAAGACAGGAAATGGCCGATAAATGTATGAATAAATGTTCAACCTTATTAGTTACCGGAGAAATGAAAAATCAAACTACATTAAGATTCCTACCTTATCGTAACCAAATGCGAGAGTCAAGGAAACAACACTCAAAGCTTAAGGATCATCAGGAAGGGGACAGGGAACAAAGACTCAGAGGTGGTAGACATCACCAGCACACAGCAGGGCAGGTTAAATCTGTTGCAGTGATGTCACAGACTGAGACCAGAGCAAGCTCAAGCCAGGCAGAAACACGGCAAGGAGCTGGGGACAAAATTCCACCACCGACTGACGGACACCTGAAAGGCCGCTGTCATTACCGACAGGAACCCTGGCATGCCAATCCCACACACCAAGGCAGGACTTACTACCAAGACTAATGTGGCAACATAAAATGGACTTGATGGGGAAAGGAGGAGGTGGGGGCAATGACTATGTTTAACACACATCGTATGGATTTCTCAAAAGGTAAAAATACTGCTTAAAAGGCCGTAAAACAGAACAAGGCATGCTGGCAAGGACAGAGACAGCAGGAGCCCTCATACATGCTGCTGAAAATGTCAACTAGTCCCTATGGGAAGAAATCCGTATACAGGTTTCTCAAAGCAGAACACAATGAAAATCATGACTATTCCTAAAGTACAGTTTTTATTGTAGATATAGGGAGTAAACAGGCAGAGAGCAGCATCCAGATGAACATGGCCGGGAGACTAAGAGTCGTCATAGCACCTCCCACTCTCTCCCCCCCACCCCTCCACCCCCCCACCCCCCCCTACCCCGCAAGCCCCAGGGACAAGAGAGCAGCACAGGCAACACGGCAAAGTTACACAGGGGTCAGCAGCACAGGGGTCAGCAGCACAGGGGTCAGCAGCACAGGCAACACGGCAGAGTTACACAGGGGTCAGCAGCACAGGGGTCAGCAGCACAGGGGTCAGCAGCACAGGGGTCAGCAGCACAGGCAACACGGCAGAGTTACACAGCAGCATATCCAACGCGGCTGAGTTAGTTACACAGGGGTCAGACTTGGGGAAGGGGGAGGAGGTGGCTGGGAGCTGTAGAGCGGGGAGGGCAGGGTAAGAAGAGCTGGAAGGAGCCACAGATGCTGAGTTCTGCTGGTAGAGCTGGAAAAGTGTCCCCTTTGATACATTAACAGGCAGCTCAGTTAGCCCTTTGTCCCCTCTTCTGAGACCTAACACCAGCTGTGCTACTCCAGGGTACCCAGGTAAGACACCCAACACACCACAGAGGTAGTCACAGCACTGGTCAGTGCAGCACTAAGTACCAATCCCAGTTAGTGAACAAGGTACCATCCACAGAGGCCTGGACAAAGGAAGTGTGGCCTTTAATCCTAGCACAGAGGCAGAGCAGGCGGATCTCTGTGAGTCCGATGCCAGCCTCCTCTACAGAGTGAGTTCCAGGACAGCCAGTGCTACACAGAGAAACCCTGTCTAAGAAACAAAATGTTGGCAGAAAAATGGATGCAACTAAGGAAGATCACATTAAGTGATTAAGCTAGCTGTAGTCCTACATTCTATATAAATAATGAACTCATTGTACATACATGACACAAAGTTGGAATAACAGTCTACACAGACAATGGAGATCAATGGGAGGGAACGGAGTGAAAACCGGAGTGACGTACAAGGAGGAATACGGAAAGCAGATACACGTGGACATGTCCTAGAGCCTTACCGGCTGCATGGTGCCACCCGCAATGACCACTGCGCGGCATTCCCTCACCACCTGGGCAAAGTGCACAGCTGGGTTCAAGAGCAAGAATTTGAGGCTGCTTTGACCAACGCTGCCTGAAAGACAGAAAGACAAAAGGCAAACAGTAGACTAGGTACAGGAAAGCCCGGATGAGCCACGGAGGCCGGGGAGCTGGCACGCCCCCTTTAAGGAAGGAGTCGCTCCCCTGCCATCGGTTCTATGGACGCGTGTGAAGACGCAGGAACAAAGTTAATCTGGCCAGGGTCACGCAGCCAAGCCCCAGACAAGAGAACAAAAATGAAGCCCAACCCCATCTAACCTCAACCTCAAGATTCCGGTTCTGCGGGGCCTTCACCGAGACAGCGGGGCTCATCTGACACCCCGTCTCCAAGGCCATTACTGGAGACAAGGCCCAGGAGGCGTGTAGCTCCTTCACAGATAGAGTGTGGGCAATATGGTAGAGCCCTTTCAAGCTAGGCCCCTTTGCCACAAGCAGTCAATTACCTTGGCGGCTCAGGATAACCCTGCCATCCTGGTTGGCAGTGGTGAGAGCTGCCAGAAAGGCTTCGATGTGCATCAGTGGGGATGCTGGTCGTGGGGCTGCGGCCTGGCCGTCCTCCAGGGCGTCTGCACAACAGGGCAGGAGGGAAAGAAGGCCTGCCTTAGCTCAAGCCCATGCTCTCTCAAGGGCCTCTGCCTAGCTCTCTCTCTCCTGACGGACAGGAGGTGTCATTCTGTAAATAGGTTTCTCTTACTGGTTAATGAATAAAGCCTTTTGGCCAATAGGAAAGCAAGATGGGTGGAACTAGGAGACAAGGAGATGCTGGAAGATGTAGTGGAGGAGTCAAGATGTAAAGACTTGAGAGAACAGGTCAGGACCTCTCTCCAGTAAGGTAAGAACACATGGAAACACTTAGATTAATAGAAATGGGTTAACATTTAAGACAGAGCCAGCCAATAAGAAACGCTAGTTACAGGCCAACAGCTTTATATCAAATACAGCATCTCTGTGTGTTATTTGGGGCTGACATGGTTCTGGGACCAGGCTGATGGGAAAATTGCTCCTAACAACCTCCTAACTCACCCTCAGCAGGCCCTGGCTGCAGGCTCTTCAGGAAGTTCTGGAAGCCATCCAGATTGCGGTTCTCCTGGGAAGCTGAGGGAGATGGAAGAACAACTCCAAAGCGTTCTGTGAAGCCAAAGAGCTATGTGCAGGGAGAGTAGGACAGACACACAGAATGAGAAAGCACCTTGAATGAGGCACCAAGCCAGAGATCACTTCCCATGATAGACAGTGGGATCAGGAGCCGCGAGGCCCCAGGGCAGCAAGGTAAAGCAGGCAAGGGCACACTGGCTCCTTGGCAGGACAATGGGAACGGTACCTTCCTGCTGATCATGCTCTTCTCCAGGTACCTCTGCACCTGCAAAACCAGCACACGTGAGAAGGAAGCAAACTGTGCTCTGAGCTCTCTGAGGAGATGGCCACGCCATACCACGCCACTCGGAAGAGCCCAAAGCCTCACAAGCGGTCTTAGCTCTGCTCTCTGGGGCCATAAGAACTCAGGGTCCCTCCTAACCATCAGCCCCCACTGCTCTCGGTGCCCAAGATCTGCGGGTGGAGAGGTCGGCTCAGCCAGTAAGAATGCTGGCTGCTCTCCTACAAGACCTGGGATCTACATGATGGCTCACAGCCATGGATAATTCCAGTTCTGGCTGACCTGATGCCCTCTCATGACTTCCTTGGGCACCAGGCATACATGCAGGAGAACACCCATACATACAAAATAAAAAAACAACTTCAAATAACTGTACTGTATTCTGCTTCCTTCCAAGTGTCCATATGCAGAGTGGGACTTGAAGAAGAGTTCAGAAACAATCAAGGACTGTGAATTCAGATGGCTCACACACTTGCTACATAACCATGAAAACCTGAGTTGGAATACTCAAGAGAACACATAAAAGCCAGAGACAGGGCTGCAGAGAGATCCTGGCTGCTCTTCCAGAGGTCCTGAGTTCAATTCCCAGCAACCACACAGTGGCTCACAGCCATCTGTAATGAGATCTGGTGCCCTCTTCTGGCCTTCAGGGACATAAGCAGGCAGAACACTGTATACATAATAAACAAGTAAATTTAAACGAACAAACAAAAAGCCAGAGACAGTAAGCTATCTATAATTACAGTGCTCTTATTGAGAAATGGGAGCCAAAGACAAGAGGTTCCCCAGAGGCCTATGAGCCAGCCTGCCTGGCATACACAGTAGAAAACCAATCAAGAGACCCCGCTTCATACAGGGAAGAAAGTGCGCGCACGCGCACACACACAGGCACACACACACACACACACACGCACACACCTGAACTGAATTCAAAACACGAATGTATGCATATACACATGACACACATAAAAAGACAAACCTTTAAAAGACAAAGAAAAAATCCAATCCTTTGCACAAAGCAAGGAGGAAAGTTCTGGGCCTGTCCCAAGGGAGGCCAGTCTCCCTGCTGTAGTCAGTATGTAGAGGGTGACCCTCAGCTCCGCTCACAATCTGAGAGCGTGAGGTTCGATGGGAATGAGGAAAACCGCTACAAAGACTGGCACCTGGCTAACACTGATTTGCTCACTTCACAAGTGAGAAGGAACAGGTCTGAAGCAAGCTGGACAAAGAAGCCTGCCACAAGAGTCAGAGCGGTGGGACTCGAAGCTGCGCTAACTCTACAAGGGGCAAGTCAGTTACTCAGAGTTGAACACGGGACTGAAGGGATGGCTGGGTGGTTGAGAGCACTGGCTGCTCTTCCAAAGGTCCTGGGTTCAATTCCCAGCACCCACATGGCAGCTCCCAACTGTAACTGCAGTTCCAGGGATCCCACACCCTCACACAGACACGTGCACATAAAAAATAAATAAAATTAAAATGAACAGAGTTGGACACAAAGGAGAGAAAAGTACCGAAGACGATGGATGGGAACACAGTCGTGACAAAAGGGACAGATGGTCTGAAAATGAAAGGTAGCCTAGAGGTGGAGGCTCATGCCCTCAATCCCAGGAAGAGGCAGGCAGGTCTCTGAGTTCAAAGCCAGAATGAATTCCAGGACAGCCACAGCTGCACAGAGAAGCCCACAAACAAACAAAGAAAAAGTGTCCTTAAGGGGTCAGAGGTTGAGAAAGAGCACTGGCTGCTCTTCCAGAGATCCTGAGTTCAATTCCCAGCACCCACATGGTAGCTCACAGGCTCTTCTTGTGTGCAGGCATGCATGCAGGCAGAACACTGTATACATAATAATTAATGTTAAAAATAAATAAATAAAATACGGGGAGGGGAAGGAAGGGAAGAGCAGGGGAGGGGAGGGAAGGAAGATAGGAAATGAAAGGCAAACAGGAAGGGAATTAGGCTAGGACGGGTCTAAATGGATTCGAACACTGCCCCCCGCCCCCAGCCACCCTGGCTCACTGGTGTGTAGCCCGGGCCAGTCCTCTAGAGCAACTCTTGTGAGTCACGTTTGAGTGTGTTCCGGCACAGTGCTCAGAATAAGGGGACAGCACCCTGCAGACTGCAGGACTCACTGTAGACACACGAGGCTGTGGGTAAGGGACACAGCTACCCAACCCGAGCCCGGAGCGAGCACCTGACAGCAAAGGCAACCTGAGCAGAGGTCTAGACTGACAGGCAGGCCAGCACGGCAGCGGGGAAGAAGGGCGCAGGCAGTCCCAACATCCCACCATGCTCTATAACCCGAAAACAAGTTCCTGCAGGAAGACTGGCAGGAGAGACGGAGAGGGTGGACACTACCCAGAGGCTGGATTACACCTAGGCATGCAAAAACCCAGCAACCTCCCTCGCCAAACCCTACAACTCCCAACCCCAGGGGACTTGGCTGTTGCTGTCCAGTCTGAAGGCTGCCTACTTCTGCTTTAGGCCCTTGGGCAGCAGACTATCCAAGGACAATGACCTGCGTTTTATTTCTTCCATGCTTCTGAGTATGGGGTAGAGGGGGAACACAAGGCCTTGCTCATAACAGACTGCACCCCTCCCCCACAGCTGCACTCCACCCCTACCTCTCCTCTCTAGTCTTAAGTAAACCAGAACAGACCCTTACCTTGAACAGGTTGATGTTGTCCACCTGACTCTGAAAAAGAAAGTCGTTGATGCTCTTCAGCTCAGACCCTGTGTGCAGACAAAGGGAGTCTGGTTTTGTACCTTGCCAAGTCCCCCGCTCAGTCCCAGAGTGGAACTCTGAGTGGACATGTCACCTCCTGCCCTCAACAGCAACCTCCTCACCTGTGTGAAGCAGACTCTGAGTGCGAGGATTTTGCTTGACGTTACCTAAAGACGGGAATTACAGTCGGCCACGGTGGCAGCTCTCTGCCCTCTGCTCCCAACCCTCAACTACAAGGAGCATCCATGTTTCCAGAGACGTTTGCTTGGGGCAAACAGGCCTGCCTGTGTCAGTGCAGGCATACCAGAGCAGACACAGAACATACTAAGACGACAGGAGTTTCCAGGAGCCTTGCAGGTCTGACTCACACACTTCAAACATGCCCAAGGACAGGCAGGGGACAGGGTCAGAGCAGTCTCCACTGTCACTCCAAGCAGGGCAAGGGGAAAAAAACAAAACAAAACAAAACCCACGATCTTCCAGCGGCAGGGAGCTGCGACACAGGCAGAGAAAGAGATGAAGAGTACGAACTTGGGACAAGATCTCTCTAGAAGTCTGCCCTGGCTTTCTGGAAGCCCAGCTCTATAGAAATCTTTAAAAGCATTGCCATATAATGAAACAGTCCCAGTCCCAAACAACCCAAGAAGCCTGGATGCCAGAGTCAGCAGCCTCCAGTCTTACAAGCCACAGGCAGGTTCCGACCTCTGGGAAGGAGGCTTAAAGTTCCCGGCTTTCTATCCACACAGGGCAAGGCAGTCCTATGCCTGGGTGTCAGTGCGGGTATGCCACACAGCTGTAGCTATGCCACACAACACGCTGTATGAATAGCGTAACCACGCACTCAGGTTTCTTAGGGTATTACATGGAGAAGTAAACTGGGGCCTAAAGTCACAACAGTGAGAAAGCGGAAGTCAAACATCTCAAGGGAGGCTGGGAACGACAATCCAAACCCATGGGACAGTGCTTAAAACCCCCAGGGGCCCTGACTGGCACTCAAGGGACAAGACCAACAACACAGCTTGCAGATGGGGGGTGAGCCGAGGACAATGCTCCCACCTCCTAACACAGCCACAAATTTCTCCAGCAAGTACAGGATCTGCTTGATGTACATGAGGTTCTTAGCCTTCAAACGCTTCCTGAGAAGAAGGAACAGAGGCAGAGTTACCACAGGATTCTGCAGCAGCTTCCCTCCACCGGATACCACGGGGCCTTTCTGCCTCGGGCCTGCCACACTGGGCTGTGAGCTACAACACCTCCAGCAGATAAAAAGGCATTCAGAGCCTGCTGTCCCCATGAGCCCAAGATGGAGAGGGAGCACACCAAGACAGACCGATTCAGCCTATTCCTCCAAGACCTGGGCACTAACAAATGGGTGACCTCCATTTGTGCCCTGGAGGCCACTGAGACTGAGCATGGCTGGGTCTCCATCCTCAGGGTGGTGTCTTACCCATATCTTTCCATGTACTGGAGCAACTGGGAATAGGCCTGGCAGAGCTGAGGAGAAACCAGAATAGAATTAAGGCATCCTAGGATATGGTAAGAGGATCTCTGTAGACAGGCGTTAGTCCAGCCCAGGACACCATCAAAGAGATGGGCAGCTGGACAGAAACAGACAAGGGCAAAGCATGTAGGGACCATGGGCTGATGGCAGCTGAGAGGGCAAGGGAAGAGGCCAAAGCCTAAGGCCCTAAATATCACAGGGCGCTCCGTTTGGGGTTGACTTCCATTCTACCAAGAGTGAGATTCAAGCAGGTGGCAGACCACACAGGATTCATGGTCAAACCTGGCTCACCCCAACACAGTGTGGGTGCATGACACACAACTTTGCCCTTCATGAATCCCCAGCTCCAAAACTAAAGCAGTGAACCCCAAGAGAAAGGTGTAGGCACACAGAACCCCTTTCAATGCTTGCCACATATCAGAGGACAGCAAATAGCAACCTGCAGAGACCCAGGGCATCCCTCCATTAAACATCCCCAAAGCAGTATCAGTAATGATAAATGAAATCCCGTGAGACTCCTGGTCCCTAACACCACCAACCTACTGACAGAGAACCAATTAGCAGGACCCTGGATGCAGGACAACAATGCCAAGAACCTCACACTTGCCAATGAACAAGAAAAGACAGGGCTTTAGTTCAGTTTGCCCTCTACCAAGTCCCATACCCAGAGGAATTCCTAGCCTAGACATTTAAAGGACTATATCACTCTGTCCAGGATGGGAGAGGCTGACCCACCTGGGAACCATTGACCTCTGTGCTGTAGATGCTGGTGATGGTGTCGATCAGGTTGTGTGCCTCGTCAATAATGACCACTTGGCCTTGCAGCCTGATTCCTGCAGCCTGTCGGGTGGCTGCATGCAGCAGCATGGGGTAAGGCAGCACCACTAGCTGTAGGGGAAAATCAGACAGTGAAGTGGCCTGTCTTGTATGCGGCACAGGCCTACCGTCAGTAAACTCTCTAGGCCACTGAGGTTGTTTAATTTCTTACTCCAACCTTGCACAGGGGTGGGGTACTCAGCCAGAATAGCACAGCTCACTACTCTGCCTGTTCCAACAGACCTTCTTGCCGGTGTTTTACATGAAACGTCAACTGTGAGGAACTAAAATTGGAGTTGATCATCTGGGGAAGGGGTGGCATCCCGGGAGGTGAACCTCATCTAAGATCCCAAGCTAGCCCTCAGGCTCGAAACTTCAACACACTGAGCACCAAAACGTGACGGTAACTTAAGGTCCTGGGACTGCTACTTCCCAGCCCTGTGACCCTTGACTTTCCATCAGCTTAGTGAATCTGACAGACTATGTCAACTGAGGGGTGAGTGTAACACCAAATCTGTAGCTATGTTGCTATGGAGATCTTCCAATTAAGAGACAACAAATAAGTGAGAGACACTGCTCAATTGGTAAAGTGTTTTCCTTGAAAGCAGGGGCTAAGTCTGAGCTACAAACCCATAGAAATAAGCCAGGGCCGGGAGGGGGCAGTGGGACCGATCCCAGCAGCAGGGAGGCAAGGGCAGGCTCGCTTACCCACTAGCTCTGCCACACCCAAAGGTGTTCTCTAGCCTGCACACACACACACACATACACACACGCGCGCGCGCACACACACACACACATGCGCGCATGCACACGTGCACACGCACACATACCAAACACACACATAAAGATACCGATAATTCGAAATCTCAGAAAACTGGAAACTCAAGGCCAGGTGCCAATATGGGTGCCATCATTTAAGACAGTGAGAAAGGAGGAGATCATCTTCCTGGGCTACAGTGTTCTCACGGGGAGAATAGAGCTATTTCAGGTGTTCACACTTCTGTATAAATGGTGGCTGCACTAACTCACTGAGACATCTGTAGACAGTTTGTCTGTGAGGATCCCCACGAGCACTGCCCTGGGTGTGAGGACCACGTAGGGCAGGGCGTCCACGCATGAGCACTGCGCTGGGAGTCACTACTGAGAAGTACTTTTCTGAAACCCATGTTGAGTCTCCCAGATGACACAGAGCTGCCGGAGTGACACCTTCCGGGGAAGGAGGAAGGTAGCAGGAAATCTCCCACAGCGAACAGCAAGGGGCTGTGCACAAAAAGCAGCTTTTCCTCTCTGTACAAAGGTAAGCCAGGTCTAATGAGGCCGGTATTGCATGTGCAGGCAGGTGGGGATATCAGCAGTTGCCCTGAGAAGCCATTTGGTTATGTTCACGTTCTGGGCTCCTTATCCACTGAGTACTCAACAATACCAACTGGCCTCAAGTGCACAGCTATCAAGGAGCCCTGGCCTCTTCGAACTCTGTGCTCTACATAAGACAACTTGGTGCCAGGAGCCCTTGATGCAGCATGGTTGTCACCCTAACTCATGCAGTGACATGCTTCCCCACCTACCAGACAGGAATGAGGAAACCCCGGTTAGTGCCAGAACAACTTCCCACTTCTCCAGCACACTCACCTGGGCTGCTGGGATGGCAAAGCGGCTTCCATAATAGGGGCAGGCCCGTGCCTCCTTCCCAAGGGCCACAAGCTGCTCCATGTCCTTCACCTCCAGCAGAATCTCGTCCCGGAGAAGCTGCATCTGCTCATGGTTGTGGAAAGGGCAAGAGGTCTGGGTCTTCTGTCTCCTTCTCTTTGGCTTGTCTTCGCCAGCTCCGTTCTTCTCTGTGGTGGGACAGTTGGAGGAAAGCAAGGACAGGAAGGAGCTCTGGGGCCAGAGGCAGGTGCCGTGACGTTCAGACATGTTCCCTAGCTGCTGGCTACAGACTCGGCACAACACTCCGGCGGCACAAACATCTCTGGCCCAGGAACACTCTTGCTCAAGGAGGGGGCCTGAGGAAGGAGCCAGGGCCTGCTCGGCCATTACTCCTGGGTCCCACACAGCCCACCCACGCCGCTGCCACTGCCACCCGGTCCAGCGCAGCTCCCGCTCCCGTGCCTACCGTGTCTGCCTCTCTGCATGTCCGCGCAGCGGTCATTCATAAGCTGCACAGAGCCCAGGTTTTTAACATCTTCGTTCACACAGAGGTTCTGTAAGGCGGGAGGCGAGAGAGGAAGCGACGACCTTCACACACACTGGCAGAACCTCGGCCACCAAGCTCACCCTCAGTCAGCCCTGCTTCCCCTCACTCACAGGATGGACCCTGAGTACGAATGTGACCACTGCATTGCTCTTCTGCCTTCCTGAATGGAGAAGCTTGTTTGTGCACATAAAACTCGCCAGCTTCCCTGGGACTGGGGCTGCCGTCTTCAAACGCGCCACCCCACTGTGCTTTCTGACAGTCAGGGCTGACCTGTTTACTCTTAGTTTATGTGTGTGGGAGTTTTGTCTGCACATAAGTCTGTGCACCATGTGCGCGTCTGGTCCCCAAGGAGGCCAGGAGACAGCACACAGTCCCGAGGAAGCAGAATTACAAACGGCTGTGAGCTCCCATACAGCTGCTACAGACTGAACCCAGGTCCTCTGGAAGAGCAACAAACTCTCACCCACAGAGTCATCTCTCCAGCCCTGGCCCATTTGGGTATGAGAGACTTTTTTTTTTTTTTTTTTTTTTTTTTAAGAGGTGGGGGGTTGTTTGCTTGGTTGGTTTTTGGTTTTGTTTTTTTAAGACAGGATTTTACTGTGTAGCCTTGGCTGTCCTGGAACTAGTTCTATAGACCAGGCTGGCCTTGAACTCACAGAGATCCACCTGCCTCTGCTCCTGAGTGCTGGGATCAAAGTGTGCGCCCCCACTTCGACTGACTTATTAGAGAGCTCTTGTAATGTGCTGATTTTCTGCTTCTTTCCCATCCTAAGGGTGGGGTTCCGTGGGTTTGTGGAAAGTTATTGGATAAAATACCCTGTCCTTTTTTGTGTGATATCCAGACCCCAATGAGAGAAACACCACCAATGGCACATTTTCTAATTTCTGCCTTTGACATTAAAATTACATTATTCCCCTTCCCTTGGTGTCTTTTAAATCCATGGCCTCTTCTCCCACTAATGGATACTATACCCACATCTGTATAAGTACATGCACATGCACTGCTGACTACAGCCGGCTCAGGCTGCAAGTGTGTCATCAGACCCACCATTTGGTCCCAGTGTGCTCTTCCCTGGGGAAGACATCTGATCTCTCCACCCACAGCTCTCCTTAGTTCAGCTCAGCATCTCTGAGACCGAATACTGACAGGTGTCTTTTAAAGATAACAGAAACGATGCTGACTAAAGGGTAGAGGACAGGAAGGACCCCACACACACACACACCCAGGCTGCTTTTCCTGCACCTCCTCAAGAACAGTAAGGCCAGCAAAGGAACAGGGCATGGGCATGTCTGGACCATGAGACAGGACCCAGAAGAGGGACTCTGCCTGGGCTGACCCCTGACCTCCCCGCTTTGCTTACCTGCCGAGAGCCAAGAGAGACTAGTCGGGTTTCCTTGCCAAAGGGGCTCTTCCGTACTTCATGTATAAACTGGGCCAGCTGGGAGTGTGTCCGACTGCAGTAATAAATCTGACCAGAGGGTAGTAAAGGGGGCCAGAGAGGGAGTCTCACTCGCTCATAGTGGCCTGAGGTCCCGTAGGACGCTAAGTGCACACTTCTGAGGTGACAACACGTCAGCTCAGGTCAGGTCGCGCCTAAGGAGGGCTTAGCAGTGCTCTACAAGTTCAAGCAATCCCCAGGCCTCAACTCCCACAGCTCCCCCCCACCACAGGGGCTGGGGACCCTGAGAGCGGGCTTCTCCACAGTGCTGACTCTTGACCCAGCAGTGACCCCCAGGCCTCTGGAGAACACCAGGGCAGGCTATTCCCCACGTGTGCCCTGAAGGGAAAGGCGAAGCCTGAGGTGCACACTGTTGCTACTCTAGGATTCAGCTAAGTGAGGAGACAGAAGAACAGAGGAGGACACCAACTACTGACAGAGAAGATACATCTTAGATGAGACCATGTACTTTTAAAATGAGAGGTGTCAACCGGGTGTTGGTGGCACTCGGGAGGCTGAGGCAGGCGGATCTCTGTGAGTTCGAGGCCAGCCTGGTCTACAGAGAGTTCCAGGACGGGCTCCAAAGCCACACAGGGAAACCGTCTCAGACAAACAACAAACAAATGGAGGTGTCATGCCACACACAGCTCACTACACTCCACGCGTGTGAAATACAAGGGTGAAGAGAAACACCATGAAAGTCCAAGAGTAAGGAGGACACGCTTGCCCCCCATCCCCACCAGCTCACTGCACAGGGAAACCCGTGAGTCCTTGGCCCAGAATGGCTGTCCCTTCCAAAACAGAGCTTAGCTAATCAAGGGGGCAACAAGAAGCAATGCTGTGCATTTGGGAGGCACACACTTGTGAGGCTGGGAGCTCACCCACCAGGCACTGAGAAACTGCGAGAACAAAGTCTTGGACCTAGAGGCCGCCTTCCACCCAGAAGCATCAAGGAGTAGGCAGCTTAGCTCACCTTGGTTACGTGCTCTTCCTCCAAGTCATCCTCATCCTCACCCACCCTGAGAGGGACAAGCACGGAGATGAGTTTTCACACAGCACACTCGGGACAGCTAAATCCCTAAAAGCAGTGTGGGGAGCTCTGAGAGCTGAGTGACAAGCAGAGGGGCTTTCACTCACATGTCAACAGCGCTTAGGGGCAAGCCCTGAATATACCACACACTGTGGTTTCAAACTGGGGCTGAGTGCTTATTCAGCCCCCAGTCCCGCAGCCCTGAAGAGCTGTTCGCCAACAGTGCTACACCATGTCAGCGAGCTAATCCAAGTTCCTGGAGGTTAACCCTGCACAGATCCCCAGCTAGGACGAGCATGCCATGCGCGCACAGTCACTGTGCCTATTCAGGGTGTACCTCCAGGTAGAAGCCCTGGACCAGGACTTCTCCCACTAGAATGAAGGTAGGAATGAGATAAGAGGACCTGGACAGGCGCCGTGAGAGGCAGAAGTGGCCAGGTCCCTTCCATTGTCCATTGGTGTTTCCTGGTTCACCCACAAAGGCAGCTCATAAAACAGAAAGCAGCTCACCCGGACCACACACTCCACCCACGCTTAGGGTTAGTGGTGGGGACTGTGGGGGCTAGTCCAGGCAGGCTACGCCCAGGCCCAGCTCGCCCCTCCATTTATGAGCCCGCAGCCAGGGCCAAGACATGGCGCCTGACCAATTCATAGCGTCCAGGGTTCCGCCACTGAGCTACCATGGGGAAAACTATCTCAATATACACAAGGGACCAGCAGAGTGAAGGCCAGCATGGTCTCACCGGCGTTTACGGACCCTGAATAAAACCCTGACTAGAGTAAATGAGCAGGTGGCTATCAGGCCCTGTCTCTGGGCTGAGGGCAGCTGCCCACAGGGCTGTGGACTGACGGAGCAATGGTCTCACCTGCTGGCTCGCTTCTCTTCATCACTCTCATACTCTGCCAGAAGCAGCGCCTCCTCCCCACACTCCAGCTGCCCCAGCTGCTCCGGTCCCGTCCCTTCAGCCAGCAGCTCCCTGCTGAGGCGCAGGAGAGTCTCCGTCTCCTCTTCTTCCCGTTTCTGGGTAGGAACAAAGATCCAACAAGAGGCCTTGGAAAGAGCCCCGAGCTGACTCCCTGACAGAGCTGGGCATCCACACTGCTGTGCTAACAGCAAGGACAGAACACCCACATTCACCTCGGAACATAACCCTCCCTACCTGACTCGAGAACTCCTCATCCGCACGGAGAGTCTCCACCACCTACGATCCCTAGCAACTGGCTAAGGAAGGGCGGCCAACGGAGCAAGGAGTGGACCCTGCTACTCTAGTCTCAAACCCGGGCAGCGTCCGGCTGGCCCGCACACCACAGCCCTACGATGCTCACCATGCGCTTCGCTGCAAACCTGAGCCTCCCATCCTGGCAAACTTGCTGCAGACGCTCTTCCCGCTTCCTCCTCTTCGCCTGCTCCTCCTAAAGGACAAGGACAGCAGAAAGAGCCCTGCAGGAGGGGCCAGCGCAGGCCTTCCTCAGCAGGGAGTCTCAGGGGGCGGGGGGGGGGCGGGGGGGCTCCCTGCCCTTGCCACACATCCGCCTCCATCTCTGCAGGTCTGGCCTCCCTGATCAGTACAAAAGGGCTACAAACAGAACCCAGGTGAACCATAAGTGGAAAGGGCCTGCTCACGTCAGAAAGAATATCCACACAAATTCACAGAAGTGTCGCGAGGCATCACCAAAACAAAGAATGTGGAATTCCTCAATTTTGTAATAAATTGAAAATAATCAGTGAGGCTTGTTTCCTTCCCTTCCTCAGCGCCTGAAATCTCACCTTCAGTCTCTCTATCAAGTCCCTTTCTTCTTTCTTCTGAACAAATGCGGTGACCCAGTCGGGCTCTCCAGCAGGCCTCGGGGTGTCACAGGGCTCTTGGCAAGGTGAGCAAGATGGGAGCAAGTTCTTCCCGTCACATGTGGGGCCAGGTGCAGGGGCCAGGAGACGAGCCTCCGCTTGTAATCTCTTCTGTTCAAAGTCCCGGAGCCAGGAGAGGGCCCCGCAGATAAGACTTAAGGACTTGCCCTGCAGGGAGAGGAATGGCCAAGCGGGTGACGAGGCCAGAAGAAGCTGCAGATCTAAGCATGAGGATGCTCTAAGGCCATCCAGAAAAGGCAGGAGTTAGTAACAGTCCACAGTCACAGGAAAGGGGGTGTAAAACCTGGTCCAAGAAGCAGCAATGAGCAGCTTTTAAGCCACATAGCTCCACATTCCCAAAGAATTCAAGTGTTGGGGCTGGAGAGACGGCTCAGAGATTAAGAGCACTGACTGCTCTTCCAGAGGTCCTGAGTTCAATTCCCAGCAACCACATGACGGCTCACAACCATCTGTAATGAGATCTGGTGCCCTCTTCTGGCCTGCACACAGATATGCAGACAGAACATTATACATGTAATAAAAAATAAGTAAATAAATTTTAAAAATATTAAAAGAATTCAAGTGTTTTCTCAACTTACAAATACTTCAAGTTAATACAACTAAACAATGGTGGAAAATACATAATAGCCAAGGAATACAAAACACGAAATCCCAAATTCTTCCCAAGGCCACATTTGACTAGTAAGCCTTAGGGCAACTGAAGTCCAGACACAACGTAATCGGTTACACCAGTTCCTACTGTTGAAGACAACTGCTCTCCACAACACTGTCCTCAGCTAAGGTCAGTTTTCCATGGTCCCTTTCACAGGTTGACATGCATCCCCACATCCCCTGATGCCAGTGTCTCAGGATGTGAACTCACCTGGAAAGAATCAGGGTGAAGCTCTTAGGTGGGTCCTAATTCTTATGAAAAGGGGACATTTAGATGGAGACACACACAGAAGAAAGGCTCCATGAAGAAACACAGGACGAAAACAGCACCCACAAGCCAAGGAGTGGGCCTGGACATCCTTCCCACATTGCCCTCAGAATGAACCAAACCTACTAATATGCTGGTCCCAGACGTTGAAACTCCAGCACAGTAAGACAGTAGATTTCTGCCGTGCACCTGGTCTGTGGTGCACTCTATACTATGAAGTCCCAAGGCAAGGGACATAGTTCCGGAGAGGAAACTGTGGTGTCCCCAGGCTGCTGCTCCTAGGATCCATCTGGGTTCAGATGAATCTTTAGAGCTAGGCTTCTGTCCACAGAACCCTCTGCCTCCATAATCCAGGCCAAGGTTCTAAACCTACCTTCCCTGGGAGACACCATAAGTAAGACTCAGAATTCTTTCCTGCAATCCTGGACTAAGACAGTGAGCATCTTAGTAGCTCCAGGACTCTGAGCTGACTCTCAGAGCTCATTTCCATATATATGCAAAAATGGGACCGATAACGAGTAAGACCCATTCATTCACGGAGCCGATACAGTTTAGATTAGTTAACACAGAGAAAGCAGGAGCCAAAAACACCCGGCAGTAAAGTAAGAAAGTGGGTACTTGTTACTGCTAAGTAATGACGGATAGCGTTATCCTGAGATGTGTTATTTTTATCGGCTTTCATTAATATTTTGAATGGCTCTTGGTAGGGTTCCCCTTCTAAGGAAAAGACAGGTCATACAGCTTAAAGAACACTCCATTATACTGTGTCAGCTTCCAGAAAACATTAAATGGAATGAAACCCAAGCAAAGAAACGCACGCAGCGCCTCTCCCGAGGAGCCTGGGGGCAGCGGGCATGGCTCACTGTGCAAAGATAGTCTTTAGATGTTGTTGGACAAAGACAGGTAAGATGCCAGTGTGCAACAACGGCCCAGAAACAGAGCCCCACACAGCCTCCACTAAAACGGGAGCAGCAGCTCCTGAGGTTATGCCCAAAATGATCTCCTAAAATTAATCGCGTGCACTCTAACACAAACACCAAGTAACTAAAGCCCCACAGGGTTAGATACTTGCACAGTGAGTGGTGCTAAACAGCTACTCCTGTTTGATCTCAAGTGATACAAAATAGAAATAATAAAAATAATAATGCTGATGGGTATTAAAAAGGTCAAATGGAACTTGTTAAAAAGCTGCCGATCCAGCTAGACAGTGAAGGTGCACGTCTTTAATCCTAGCACTTGAGAGGCAGAGGCAGAAGGATCTCTAAAAGGCCAGTCTGGTATACTGAGCTAGTTCCAGGACAGACAGGGCTATAGAGAGAATCACTGTTTCCAAAAAAAAAAAGTGCAGATCAAATGCTCACCTAAGTCATAGAACAATCTTCACAAGGTACCCAGAAGACGCTCCCATTCACCATGTAGAGCAGCGGCTCTCAGCCTTCCTAACACTGTGACCCTTTAACACAGCTCCTCATATGTGGTGGCCCCCAACCATAAAATGATTTGTGTTGCCACTTCAGAACTGCAACTTTGCTACTGTTGTGAATCATAAAGTAAATATCTCTATGGGGGATAGTTGGCAGGCAATCCCCATGAAAGGGCCATTTCTTTTTACTCCCTAAGGGGGCCACGACCCACAAGCTGAGCACCACTGGTATAAACGGAACAAAAAGGAACAGAGTAACCGCACAGACATAGCTTCTGCTCCAGAATCCTGGGGGTCAATTTTGGAGCTGTACTTCCGCATCAATATGGACAGACACAATACAGTGCCTTTTATTTGCTCGTTCAGAAAATTCATAGGAAGAGCCTCCCGGAGGCCAACCTTGCCAAGCCCCACAGATGCCAGCAGTCAGCTAACAGGGACCAAAGTTCTTTTATCGGTGAGGATGAAGCCTAGAGTTTGAGCATCTTCACACCAAAATTCACAGTTCACTATCACGTAGTCCCCACTATGCAAGGTCATACACCAGAATGCTGGGAGCAAGCTGGGGACCCCTAGCCACAGCCCACCTAAAATATACCCCTCAGTCTGAATGAGGAAGGAGAACATAGGGTCCCCTTGCCTGGCTCCTAACACCATGCAGTAACCTATATTCTACACTCTAACGCAGTATGCTGAACCTGGGGGAGAGCCACAGCCATGTCCCTGTCCCTCAGCACCGAGGCAGCCAGAGAGATCCCAAAAGCACCGGTTTTCCTCAGACGAGGATCCCTGCGCCCAGCTTCTTCTCAGAGAAGGCAGTGTCCGCACAGGACACCTGTCAAGGTGAGTAAGGCCGCCTCATCCCTCACACTCACTGTGCCTGTTGGACTCTCAAATATCCCAATCTTGCCAGCATCCAAAACCTTGTAGAGCTCTGTCATGAAGTCCTTCTGGATAGGATAGGGTGGGAAAGGGAATGGGAAGTGGACGCCTCCAATCTCCTGGCTTTCGTCAGCCATTGCCCTAGAGTTGAGAGGGGGAGAGAGGGAGGGAGAGAGAGAGAGAGAGAGAGAGAGAGAGAGAGAGAGAGAGATTACCTTTTTTCATGAGCCATGAAGTGGCTTGAAATCTACATAGCCCAAAGCACAAGTTTTCCTACTTGTCACAGAATTTCTCTTCCGGTTGTATATTTTCTGGCAGGCAGAGACCATGTTCTGTCCATTTATATATATGTACATGACACGCCAGGCCCACACAATCCATCTGGTCATGCTGGTCAGATATTATCATTGCAGAGTCCAGCCCGGGAAAGCCCTAAGATGAGCCTCCCATGCTGCTACCCGATGCCCTTCCAGTACCTCCGCAAGAGCAGAGTGCTTCTGCGCAAAGGTAAGGGTCCTTAGGGTCACAGCTGTGATTCCTTCTCCAGCAACCTTCTCCAAGGCCTCTGTAATTTGCATGCCCACGCTGCCTCACCTGCTCCTGCAATGAAGGCCCACAGAACGACCAGGCTTCCAATCTACTGCCTCCTGCGTCAGACGGCGGGGTCCTAACCTCCACTGCAACACAAACAGCGCATCCCACTGGTCATCTTTTTCTGGCCTCAAGATAGAAGAGCTTTCTGGGGCTCGATGGTAAAAAGCTTACTAGCAGCTTGTGAGGACCTGGGGTGGGGGGGACGATACCGGGCATCCTAATCCCCTAAAAAACAGTTGTTTGGTTCCAGACTGGAAGGACCCTTTTACAGGCGCTAATCTCTGACGGGAATGGCGTCCCAATACTAAAGCCGCAGCTTTCCTCTTGCCAGACCAAGGGCTCTCAGCTCCGGGCGGCCCACCTCTGCCTCCCCCCTTCCCAAGCACCTCCCTCTGCCCTCTCTTTACCACCTGGAGGTCCTACTTCTCCACACCTCTCTTCTTAAGAGTCAAACGGGCACGGCCATCTCTTCTAAGTCCAAATACTAATAACCCAAAGACCCGGTTTATCATTAATAAACTCAAGACCTTTGACAGTGAGAGTGTCGATCCATGTATGAGGAAAAGCCGCTGCCAATGTGTTCTTCCAGGCACCGTCAGGGACAGAAGAAACGTCAACCCAGGTGGAGAAATTACCACAACAAAACAACAACCCCAATAAGCAAACTAAGATAATTCAGGCATGAGAACTGCAAGCCAGCCTGCATCTCAGACAGCCCAGGAAGCATGCATTTGCGACTCTCTCCCACTCTGCCGCCCCTGCCATTAGCGACGCGGTAGCTACGCACATCCCGTCTTCCTTCCGGGACCCTAAAAAGAACGGCAGTACCGCAGAGCTCGCAGCAGGGTGGGCCGGGCCCCGAGGCCGACCGCCAAGCCGGATCTCAGGTTAGTAATTACCCGTTAACCCGTGTCTTCGTGCGCCCCTCACGTTCACTACAGAAAGCGATCGCTTAACACAGCTTTCCCGGATCTGAGAGCTCAACGCGCCCGCACACTCAACCGAAGACGCCGCCAGCCCGCGGGCGGCCCCTCGCATTGGTTCTTGGCCTGTCGATCACGCGCTGTCCCCGCCCCCTCGCTTCCGGCGGCTCCGCGCGCCCCGCTCGCCCCGCCCCCTGGTCCCCGCTCCAGCCCGCCTTGCTCGCCTCGCTTCCTTCTCCTCCAGCTTTGCCTCCTCGCGGCCGAACTCACCCTCGACCCGCAGGACGGTCTCGCCGAGGCGAGCCAGCAAGCCTTGCCTTGCAAGCTCCACCGGGAGCGGCGCCCGCCCGCAGGGAAGCCCGCCACGCCCCCCGCGCCTGCGCACTTCAGACCACCGGCGGGCCGTGAGCTCCGGACTTGCAGCGCAGTGCGAGCGTGCGTGCGTGCGTGCGTGCGTGTGCCGCGACCACCGCTGCTGTGCGTGAGCCCCGACCGAACCTAGATCTAACCTTCGACGTTAGCTAAATTTGTGTTCTTACAAGTTATCGTCTTTAAATAAGACTGTCCTGGACGAATGTTAAACGTTAAAGAAAATTATCAAATATCAGGTACACAAAGCCTTAGGGTTTTTTGTTTTGTTTTGGGGTTTTGGTTTTTTTGTTTTTTTTTTCGTTTTGGTGTGGTCCTTCATACATACATTTATGAATTTTCCCTCCTTAATTGAATCTGTTTCACAGTAATGAAGGTACAAAGTTGTACTACGGTGAAGTAATGTAAAATGTAAAAGCTGGCAGGCTCTGAGGAGCAGTCAGCCTTGACGTGGTTTTCTGTCGCTAGTTACAAAAGCACAGGTCGCACAGGAGGCACAGCAATCGGTCCTTACTAATCGCCCTGTTAATTGCACAAAGGACGCCGGACGAGATCCACTTTCTCAGGCTGCAGCTAGAAATCCTAACCACAACCTCAAGCTTGGGCCCCTTCTCCCCCTTTCCCAAGAAACACAAGAACGATTAACTCTGCCCTTTAGTGCCCATTGCATGAGGGGCTGGCTGTGTGGCAGCTGCACCGCTAACCTTTTATTAACTATAGGGTTGTTGGGTTTTTGTTTTTTGTTTTCCTCACCTGGACACATGCATCAAAGTCTCAAGACAAAGCCTGCAGTAGCCTGCCTTCATGGATGGACTACAGTCTTTCTTGGGTTACTGCCTATGTAGATCCCCGTCTGTGGGATGGGCTGGGGGTAGTGGGGGCTTGTTTGAAGTTGTTCTCACAGTTTAGTCTGTTTCCGTTAGCTGCATTAGGGTGGAGAATATGTAAATAGGCATCAGTATCTTCCCTGTGTTCCCTAGAGAGCAGGTTTCATGGGAATGAGAGCCACACATGCTCACATTGGCTCTGTCTCCTCAGACTCCAGCCCTCCCTCCTCTCTGGCCTACGCCTACGAGCCCTCTAGTGTTCAGGACCTCACCATCCTAACCCTAACACCCTTTTAAACCCCAAAGTCCATTCACAACGCATCAACACGCTTCATCGTCACTCACTGTACACACAGGCCTGGCAGCCTGGCTTGGTGGCTTAACACAATAACCCCAGCCATCAAGAGGTGACTGGGGTTGGGGCGTTGTCATACCTTTTTGACTGTGGTTTGGGTAAGTGTCCCCCAGGGCCTGATGTGGTGTGGAAAATAAGCAAGAAATGGGAAGGGGCCTCACAATGCAGGCTCTGGGGGAAAACGGAACCCTCGGGCCCCTACTCTCTCCAGCCTGGCTTTCTGTCTACTTCTGAACTTTTAAGAACCTCTCTGACTCAGTCTTCTGAGGATACAGCTGCTTGCCCAAAATCCTCAGCCTGGGAAGATAAGCTAGACAACACGGCAAAGCCACAAGGCTGTTGCCGGTTATGATTCTCCTGGACATGAGCTGTTGCCTTGACCCCTCTTCACTATTGTGGGTGAAGCTCTGAGTTTCAACCTAGAAAGGCTGCTGGGGTTATCAAGTCTAGGGCGGTCCAGCCAGGGGCTGGGACACTGATGGCCCCATTATCTTCTTTCCTGTCTAAGTCCCAGAGATCTCAGACCGTCCCGTCCCATCACTGGGGGTCCTATTCTCCCCAGAATGCTTAGTGTGCCAACAGCTGCACGGGCAGAGCCAGCTGTAGGCCAAAAGGACACAGGAGCTAGATGATGAAACTAAAGATACTGTTTCTTGACCTAGGCTCTCTGCAGCATCCTTGTAGTGAGAGCTCTGCCCTCAAGAGGGCGACAACTTCATTGTGAATCCTTCCTCTGGCTTCTGCGTCTCCTGGGGGGGGGGGGCCCTCTCCAGATTTGTCAGAGGTGGCCATGGGACACCTGTCTCTGCGTTTCCTCGGGATATTGGCCCAGCTGTGGGAAGTCTGCAGGGCTGGGCTCTCAGTCCAGGCCATGAAGCCTGGAACTCACTTCCTGGGCTCTGCCCGAGCCAGTCCTCCAGTAGCATCACGGGGACAACTCTTCCTCCACGGGCCCAACTCCTTTCTCACATACAAGGAGTAAGTGTGAAGATTGGGTCTGAGTCTGACCCCAGCTTCTGGGCTGCCTTTGTACAATGCTGTGAGCTGTTCTTTTGCCGGCCAACACTCAGTAAATATGGGGATGTGTCAGGCCCTCAGTAGGTGCTGGATCCCAGGATGATTGGTCCCATGGTCAAGCTGCCCGCTGGAGCCTGCACACTGGCAGAGTCCGGGATATCAGGAAGACAAAGGCGTGAGGTAAGTCCACATGAAACTGTTCAGCGGGGTAGCGGGCCTGAGAGCATTCATGGTAATGAAGGACAAAAAATTAAAATTAATAAAAAATTTAAAACTTGGTCCTAAATCTATACATAGAAAGGGAACTTCTAATGGTAAAGGAAAATTTAACTCCTTGAATCAGGAGTGCCATGGCTGGTGCCTGAGCCCTGCTCTCAGAGAAGGGGAGGTGACTGGCCACCACTTAGTCAAACATTCCTAGGTCTGCTAATTGCTGGTCATAAAGATCCCCTGATGATTGTAAAGATCCCTCAGCCCAGGGGATAATTGCCGGACCCTGTGACCCTGCAACCCTGTGTTATCTTACTCAAATGTATCTTGCTTAAAATATATAGTTACTGCTTTACTCGGTACTTTACTCTGTACGACCTTATGTTACAATGGAAACTCTGGAATTTGTGGCCTTTGGCCTCGGCCTCATGGTCCTCCCCTTTAAAAGCTTCCCTTTATGGCTGGTTGGGATCTCATTCCCCCGGGCATGGAGTGAGATCCAAGCTGGCCAGCTTGAACAATACAATAAAAAGAAACCTTTGCATTTGCTTCGGAATTGTCTGGCTCCTTGGGTTGTTCTGGGGCTCGTGAACCCCGTACAAGAGTAGTACAGGGTGTTGGAGGAGGTGGTCCCTGTGAGGAGAGCCGTGCTGGGCACAGCCTGGGAGGCAAGAAGAGATGAGACAGAGGGCCGTGAGAGCAGCCATATGACACACTGCCAGCATGAGCGATTGGACATGTCTTCTGGAGAGTTCATGCAGTTCTTACTCTGAAGACCGTTCCTTAGCTTCCAGGCCCTAGGACAGTGGCGGCGGACTGAAGGGGCTGACCGGTTGCAGCGCCTGTCCCCTGAGCTCTGGTGATGGGAGGAAAGGCGGCTGGTGAGGGAGAGACAACAGCCAGGGACCACCCAGAAAAGGGCACCATGGCTCAGCCCCAGAAACCGGAGGTCATGCTCCATTTGTGGGGCTCTGACTCCCTTGACACGTACCTCTGGGAGTCTGAGAGCCTGTGTGAGTGTCACCCTCTGGGAACTGAGCTGTCCCTGTGCCAGCATCTGAAGCCACTGCTGTCCCCACCTGGACACTAGGTCACTTTAAGAAAACCCTTTCGGTGTCTGGGACTTTTCTTCTCTGAAATGAAGAACCGGATGGGCCCCAATCCCCCCCCCCCAGCCTCTGACCTGCTGTCACTAGACATTTCCGGTTGGGATCCTGGCCTTCAGAACAGTGACACGCTACTGAAATGCTCCCAGAGTGAGACTGGTCTCAGCCGGAACCACGGGCAGTTTTGCCTCACAGTCCTTCCTCCTTCATGGCTGCTGAGGACGCGCATGCAGGTTGGGTCAACTCGACACGAGCTACAGTCACCAGAGAGGAAGGATCCTCAGCTGAGGAAATGCTTCCATAAGATCCAGCTGTAAGGCATTTTCTCAATTAGTGATCAATGGGACAGGGCCCGGCCCACTGTGGGTGGGGCTAGCTATGGACTGGTGGGCCCGGGTTCTATAATAAAGCAGGCTGAGCAAGCTAGGGGAAGCAAGCCAGTAAACGGCACTCTTCCATGGCCTCTGCATCAGCTCCTGCCTCCAGGTTCCTGCCCTGACTCCTTCCAATGATGAACAGTGATGCAGAAGTATAAGTCAAACACTTTCCTCCCTAACTTGCTTCTTGGTCATGGTGTGTTTTGCTGTAGCAGTATAAGCCTTAACAAACCCAAGGCAGAAGGTAGCAGTGTCTTCCGTGATGAGGGCCCACTGTGTAACAACTCAGCATTCCCGTTGTTACCTCCTGAGATGTTAGCCAAGGATGTTCTAGTGGCCTCTAAAACAATAAAGACCTCCACTCCTGTTGCAAGTGACCCAGTGATGGGAGGCAGTGGTGTTTCTTGCCCTTCATGCCCAGCAGGACTGCTGGTGGCCCGGCCATCAGGAATTGGTGAGTAGCCCTGCAGCCAGGACCAGCTTTGTGAGGACAGTGCCATCTGGGGTACCTTCCAGGACTCCTCAAGCTTGTCAAATGTGGCGAGCTTCTGACTCCTTCACCCACTTGCTGGCTCTACTGTTTCCCTAAAGTTTGACTGTATCAAGTTTCAATCCCAGGCTCCAAAACCCAGGATCCTCCCAACCCCCACTTCTGTCTGTCCTGGAACTCCTATGCCTGCCTCTGCTTCCAGAGCTGGGATTAAAGACCACTGCCTAGCGAAAACCCAGACTCTTTAAGCAGTCCCAACACAGTTTTCTGGAGTCCCCTTTGGAAAGCGTTTTCTTGTCCCTACAGATGTTCTCGATACAAACCACTCTCTCTGGAAGTCTAATGTTAGCCCTCACTCCTGCCTGCACTTTGGACTTTTACAGTATCAAGAGAACAAACGGGCCAGGTGACAATCGGGAGCTCCAAGCTGAGGTGTGGAAATGAGGCAGGCTCCAGATGCCATTAGGCCTGGCAGAATGGATGGTCCTGGGCTTCCCCAGATTAGCAGGCTCCCCACAGTGCTGCAGCATGGCTGGAGGCCGCCTGAAGAGATCCTGCTCCTCTCTGCAGTCTGAGGAAGATGACCAGAGATTGCTTCCGATGACTTGACCTGGTAGGCAGCCCCCTCTCTGCTGGAGCTGAGACCCCATAGGACAGGAGTGGGCAGCTGTGACTTGCTGAGGATTCGGCATGGGCTGGGTCTCCACCCTTTTCAGTGGTAGGTGTGGGATGGAGAAAGGGAAGGAGCCAGAGGGCTTGCAAATGTGGGGCTAACAACAGCTGATGGCCACATGTGCCATTGGATCCCGTGTCCCTCCACAAGTACGTGGTGACAGTGGACGTAAGAGAAGATGGTTTATTAATCAGACTCTTTGAAGTATCTCCAGCATTTCAGAAAACGGGGGACTGGGGAGAGGCGCCCGGGACCATCCTCACATGAACAAAGTTATTCTGGGGACGTGTGTGCCTCCCACTGGCTGTCAGGCTGTTGAGCTGAGTTACCTCCAGAAACTGGAACCTCCCTTAGGATCTCCTACCGGGAGAGGGAAAAGGCTGTGGCTGTGGTTTTGGGTGGCGGGGAGCATGGCTCCGGACAGCTGACTTGTCGTGGGGCTGAACCATATCTGACCATACCCTCTGCTCTTTGTCTAAACTGAACCCTCACGTTAAGACTCCAAAGACAGACTTGGCACACTGACAAATCTCTTTTCTATTTTGCACTGTTTTGTTTAACCGGCCTATTCAAGGAAGGTGGCTGAGCCTTGCCTGTTAACGACCCTGGTAAGAAGCTGTGTCACCCACAGGCCTGCTTTGACAGTAGCTAGTCCGTGGCTTCACAAGGGAATTTAGGCCTCCGTTCACTTGGTGTCCTCTGTGACTGGCCTGGGTCCACGAAATCTGGCTTTGCTACAAAGCCAGGACGCCATGACAGGTGAGAACAAACCAGCCATCTTCTGTGTCCTTCCCGGGCTAGAACTGCAGGCCACACCCCACCAGGGAAGATGCTGACCATGATAGATAGCTCGAGGATGAGGGACGGCACCCACCAAGGACAGAGGGGGGAAGCGCGCCAGCTCGCTCCAAGAAGCTGTTGGCAGCCCACACGGCTGCCCGTCGCTTACTAAAAGGGCACTGCTGGCTTGGGCTCAGGTCTGGTTGCTTTCTTTATTCTATCCTGTTGCTGTTGCTCTTCAGGGGAGGGTAGAGCAAAGCAGTCCAGGGAAGCCGCAGACGGCTCACAGAGCCCCCACAGAGCCATGGACAGAGGCTGGCACAGACCCCGAACCCCTCCTCGGGCGACAGGACCTGTAAGGCCCCATCTGGCTGAGGAGCCCCTCGGGGGCTGCCCTGCCAAATGCGCGAATGCGCGAGGTGGAGCACACTCAGGACTCCCAGTCGTCGTCATCCTCGTCTCCCGCGGGCTGCTGTGGGGGTGGCAGAGGTGGAATGCAGTCTGACATCCGGGTGAAGGCTCCCCCCGGCCCCTCACTGGTTCCGGCGCCGGGTCCTTTTCCAGAAATTCCTGGGAGGGGAGGGGAGGAGAGAGAGTGTGGCGTGGCGCCTCCCCAGCCCCCTTCCGGAGACTGAGATGCACAAGATGCCTACCTTTGCGCCTCATGACGAGCTTGTTAAAGAGGTCAGACATCAAGTCCCCGCCTTGGCTGGTGGCTCTCACTGCGGTGGGAGAGCAACAGGTAAGGGAAGAGGAAACCAAGTTCAATATGGTCACACACGGGGCTCACTCCTCCACGCGGCTCACGTGCCGCGTGCTGGTGACATGTGATATGCCCACGGCCCAGCCCTGCCTTAATGGTTCAGTTCCCAGGACCCCCGTATGGCTGAGGGCATGGGCTCAGGGAGGCCAGGCTACTGGCATGCAGTCACAAAGCAGGTCAGGAGATCCGTGCAAGCCCAGGACTCCTGGTAGTTCACACGCGCGTTGACCAGGATGCCACTAGCAAGGGTTCTTGGCAGACATAAGCCTTATCCTCAGGGTGGAAGAGGGTAAGTCCTCCGTCTCGTCCCAGAGGACTTCGGGTGCCTTGGGTCTCCTTGGGCAATGCTACTCAAGGGTTCTCCTTTCTCACGGTTTCGGCTGGGAGAGCTCAAGGCAGGAAAGCTTCCCTCAGGGAACCCATGGCCCAGGACAGAGGGACAAGGGTACCTAACAGGGTAGCCACAAGGGACTCCCTGCGGGGTGACAGGGAACCTGGCTGCTGCAACAGACCCTTGGCGGCCTTACCTTGTTCCTGCTCCCTCTGTTTCTTCTTCTCCAGCTTGCGCTCCTTGACGCTGCGCAGCTTGGCCTTGCCAATGCCCCCGGCTTGGCGGATGGACTCGAGCAGAGTGGCCCGGCCACTGGAGGGGTCGAGCACCTCCTTAGGAGCTCCTTGGACAGAGGCTGTAAGGAGAGGGTGAAGGACCGGTAGCTGGTAGCACTGTAGGATGGGGAGAGCCGCCCTGGCTAAGGCTGGAGGTGATCTCAGGGCCTTGGCAAAGGAACGGAGGGGCCTGCTCTCCATGGCGGAGCCCAGCTGTGACCTCTGGGATGGGTCAGGGCGACCTTGGCCTCCCTGCGGACAATGAGCCGAGGGGCCTCGAGTCCACGTCTTTCCTCTCTACCCCTATTTCTAGGCACTCTGCGGTGCCACGCACCCCACAAGCCAACAAAGGGTTTCTACCCCGAGAAGTGGCTGGAGACAAGTGGCAATCTGGGATTTTCAAGTTTGTCAGTGGACGCTTTCCACTGGCTCACCTAGAAACCGGGTACAGCACCTTCCCAAGGCTTCCTCTGCCCTGAAAGCCAGGGTCCCACTCCATCGACCCTGTTAACACTACATGTCCGTAACAAGAACTCTCTGGGGATCCCGGCCTAGGAACGCGGGACCTGAGGGGACCTCTTCGGGGACCCCGGCATGAGAAACCTGCAGGTCCTGTTAGTGAGGGCTGGCCACATGAGCCCTATCTGCGTTGCCCCTACCTGAGTGGGCCACACCGCTGCTCCGGTCTTCCTCCCTGGCAACCTGGCCAGGTGCAGTTGCCACTTCAGGGAACGATGGCGGTTGTGGGGTACTGACCACCACGGTGGGAGCTGCGGGAGGCGGTGGCGGCGGCGGTGGCGGCGGTGCCAGCAGCACCCCACCCTCCAGTTCTGTAAGGAGTGTGAGAAGATGAGGATTTGGGGAAAGAGCCAGCAAGAGCTTTCTGGTCAGTTCCGTCCTGGTGCCCGCTCACCTGGCTGGAAGGGTTCAGCCACCTCCGTGTGGAAGGTGGGCAGTTCTGGAATGGCGCCAGGAGCCGAGGGAGCGATGCCAGGGCCCAAGTCCGCACTGTACATGAGGTCATCCGCGATGCCAGGTAAGTCGGGGAGGTAGGACGGCACGTCGATCTCGGGGACCTGACCCAGGTCTGGCACATAGAAGTAGTTTTCCGGAGCCTGCAGGGTCAGGTGTGGACAGGAAGGCGTGGCAGCTCTGCCAGGGCACAGGGCTCCCACACAGCCTCGGGGCGGGCAGTACAAGTGGGCCCCGGTGGGAGCACCCCACCCCCCTCCTGCCCCGGTGGGAGCACCCCACCCCTCCTCCTGCCCCGGTGGGAGCACCCCACCCCCCTCCTGCCCCGGTGGGAGCACCCCACCCCCCTCCTGCCCCGGTGGGAGCACCCCCTCCTCCTGCCCCGGTGGGAGCACCCCCTCCTCCTGCCCCGGTGGGAGCACCCCACCCCCCTCCTGCCCCGGTGGGAGCACCCCCTCCTCCTGCCCCGGTGGGAGCACTCCACCCCCCTCCTGCCCCGGTGGGAGCACCCCACCCCCCTCCTGCCCCGGTGGGAGCACCCCCTCCTCCTGCCCCGGTGGGAGCACCCCACCCCCCTCCTGCCCCGGTGGGAGCACCCCCTCCTCCTGCCCCGGTGGGAGCACCCCACCCCCCTCCTGCCCCGGTGGGAGCACCCCCCTCCTCCTGCCCCGGTGGGAGCACTCCACCCCCCTCCTGCCCCGGTGGGAGCACCCCACCCCTCCTCCTGCCCCGGTGGGAGCACCCCACCCCACCTGCTGCTCCAGCTGCTCTCTCTTGCTGATAGACAGAGGGGCATCAAACAACTTCTCCTCTTCTGTGCCCAGCATTGTGTGGGTTTTTGTTACTGCGCCAGCCAGAGGGTCCAGGAAAACATACTTCTTGTACCTGTGGAGTGGTCAGGAGGCCATCATCCATCCTGGGACCAGGCCGGCCCCTGACCACCCTTCCCACTGCCTTAGAAGCCAAATCTAACTTGTCAGTCCTGAGGACTACATCAGGCTCAGGCTCCGGGAGCTACCTAAGCAAGATCTCCCTCCCTCCTTCCTCCCCGCCGGTTATCTAATGCCCTTACAAATTTTCTGTGGTGTTGAAGAGCAACAGGGAGCTGATGGAGCTGATGTTGCTGGGAAGACCCCCAAGTCCTTCCTCAGCTTCATCCTCAGGCTCCGACTTTGTGTTCACACACACCGGAAAGTACTTCAGCTTCTCCTGCGGTAGGGTCAGAGTGGGTGGAGTTTCAGTACCAGGCTTATGGACCCAGCACCACCCCAACCAGAATCCTTCTAGGAGACCGAAATCTGTGGTCAACCTTCAGGCCCTGCCTCCCAGCAGCCGCGCGTGCACGTGCGCGGCCTGCGTGCATGCATGCGTGTGCATGCGTGTGACATGCAGGTGGCACTCAGACCTGCAGGGCCCGCTCATCCAGGGGGCGGTGCTTGCTCTGGATCCTGTACCGGGGTCTTCTCTGCAGGTCAGGGTCGAGGGCACCGGTAAAGATGGAGCCATACTCCTGCAGACGCTCGGGCGCTGGGTACTTGGCACTAGAGAAGACCTGAAGACAGGGGACAACTCTGGGCCCCGTACTCAGGGTAGCCTAGTCCTCACAGGCGGGCACTAAGAATGGGTGTCCGCAGCAGGAGGGAAGCGAGGTGTGGCTGCACAGCCGGGGTACAGAAGACCAAGGCACCAGCAACAACACAGACATCACGGCCTACCTTGATGGCCTTCTTGCTGCCCTTGATCTTCTCTATCTTAGCCTGGGCCAAGGAGACCCTCTCCCGAATGGCCTGCAGCTGGCGCCGACTCAGCTCTACTCGCTGGGAGATCCTGTCATTGGAAAAATGTAGACGTGGGTGCTACTTCAAGCTGTGTAGCCTCTGTCCCTGTGCCAGCAGCAGACCTGAGCCCCGCCGGGTCCTGGGCTTAAGCGCTCCCCGCGATGCAGCCTGCCCGCTGGGCTGGTCAGAGTGCCCTTCAGCTGACCTCTGTCTGCCCTGTTATTCAGCCCAAGGGGGTCTAGAAACGCTTCACCGTGAGCTCTGGACAAGGAAGGGCAGCCGCTGAGCCTCTATTCTGTGCCCACATACGCCATCTGAGAAGATGCAGCTCCTGGACCCAGGCGCTTACAACCTCGGGCAAGGAGACAGCTGTGATACTAGCTACCTCACACAGATACTGGCTACTGACAGTTGACGTTTGCACCCTTGGTGGTCACGTGCTGTTCACAGGCTTCCGGTGTCTGCAGAGAGGAAAACAGGTAGAGCAAGACTCCTAACCCTAACCCCAGCAGACGGGGGATTGCGCTGTACCTGTAGACAGCTCGCAGAGTACATATGATGTCCCAGTGTTGGCTTGTGAGTCTTGCACAGCCCCACCCCTAGCCTGTCCCATGCTCTCCTGAGGGGTGGGCACAACGGTGCCAAGTGCCCTGACATGCCAAACCCAGTGCTGCCCCTGGGTGTGGGATCAAATGGAGCCCTGGGGGACACCCACAGGGCCATCAGCCCCTCCCTTTGCACTGGAGCTTCCCTGACCTGACCAGACTAAAAGCCTGTCCCGGGCACTTCCCGGCTCAGCCTGCTAGCTTTCCCGACAAACCCTGGTGTACCTTGTGCACACCAAAAGCCAGGGGGTGGGGCTGGGCAGCAGGTCTCACCTGCTGAAGATGTCTCCAGAAATGCTCTGTAGTTGCTGCAGGGCATCTGCCACCTGCTGGATTGCCTCCTCTCGCCGCAGGTCGGGCTGGATAAGCGGCACTGCGTATGGCTGGCCCACCACCGAGTGCTGGCCCTTCAAGGGCGTCATGATGCCTGTGGGTGGGAATGAACACATCAAGAACATGGTCCCACATTCAATGTCTACCTAGTAGCCGCAGGCAAGGTGGTCACGGGACCTGGGAGGCAGAGGCAGGAGCTGCTGTTTAAGGCCTTCTTCTGATACACAGAAAGTTCAAGGCCAGCCTGGGCTACCTACGGGAGGTGGGGGGGGGGGGAGCCGTCACGCGAAGGAGGCAATTTCTACACAGCTTTACTGTGTGTAAGCACCATGGCAGGCAGAGGAAGGGCTCCCCAGAGGCCCCGATAAGGAGACTGAAGGCAATGGCGGGAACTCGTAATTGGCAGAGACTAGAGTTGAGAAAATCTGGGACATACTGTGATCTTATTCCCACGGCACTTGGTACCCTGCTTAGTGGCCTATTTAACACATCGGTTCAACTCCACCTCCCAAGTCTCAACCATCACAACCATGGCTGCCCAGCACAAAAGAGGCCGGAAGCAGAGGGTGGATGGGGATCGACCAGATCTGCTGCTGGGTCGGCTCCAGACGGACGAAAATGCAGACATGAACACTTGGGAGGCGTGGGCCGCGTGACGACTGCCCCTGCTTGACAAAGTCCCAGCATTCTGACGTTGCGGATCGCGGCTCTACAGCACTCTCACGGACATTTTTAACGATTCTCACTGTGTGTGATGGGGCGGGGCTTCCTTATCCTTTCCTTAGGGGATTTAGTGTGCTCTTCGTTAAGGGATGAGAATACATGCAAGGGCAATCTCTTTGAGCATAAGTAATTCTTTGGGAACCAAATCCCCACCACCCTGGAGCCATACCATATAGCGCAATCACTCTGCTTAACTCTCCACACAGGGCTCCCCATTACCCTTGCTCCCCATTATGTCAGGAATAGAGAAGTTAGAGACATACTACCTGGGCATTCCTGGTCCCATGGACGAAAAACACACAGTCTAGAGAAACAATATACCCAGAGTCACTGCCTAAGGCCATTTAGGGCTAGAGCTCAGTTAATGAGTGTAGACTACAACCCAAGATGAGAATGGCTTACTGGGTGAATGGCAAGATCTGGTTTGCCCCACAGGGAGCTGATTCTGTTGAGAAGTTAAGAGCGGCTTGATGCCCACTGCCACATACAGAGCACACACTGAAGGATTCCGGATGGTAGCGAAATGGAAAGGGGGCTTAGGAGCAGACCCACGAAGCAATGCAGTCAGGAAGCAGCTCAATGCCATACAAACTACAAACGCTGCTGGATCATGCCCCTTGAAGAATGAAACTGCTCTTTGGGGTTTGTTTCTCAGGACTCTGTCTGACACCTCTTTACCAACAGAGCTGAGACCACGCAGGAGGAAGTGTGTAAGACAGCACCTGGCGTTTAGATCCTTGACAAACTTGTTATTTTTTGCTTGGTTTTTTTTTTTTTTTCCAAAACAGTTCCGGCTGTCCTGAAACTCACCTTGTAGACCAGGCTAGCCTAGAACTTCCCTGCCTTTGCCTCCCGAGTACTGGGATTAAACCTGTGCAATAAACTTAATTATTTATTTATTTTTACTTCATGCTCTGATGACTGCTTTCATCCCTGAATCATTAAGTACACTTCCAACTTTACTTTGTGGTTAAACTATAATGCAATTATAGAGTATAAAAGGTGTAGCCTATTTTCAATAATGGGCAGCCATCTTGCTTCACCTTGAGACAGATTGTGGCAGGGCTAATGCCTCTAGGAAAAGGGACATCCAGGCTTTGCTCACCCTGGCCAGAGCCAAGGGGTCCAAGACGTGCAAACTCGGGAAAATGTCCTCCAAAGCAGAGGACAGGGCGGTCTGTTTACACTGGGTTTAATTAACTCTGCCCCTCCCCCCAGGACCACTAACGCAGCGATCACACTGACTGAAAAGAAACAGACATACGGCTGACTTGATATTAAGGCACCTGACCCTTATAACCAGGGGCAACCCTAGGCCCTCACCAGAAGACAGCCAGGAAACATTCATTAGGCTGGCACCGAACCCCAGATTTCCTCTTAGGTACCACCCTGGAGCCCTCGACTGCAATGGAGCTGGGTGCCTTTGGGTTAAGTGTGACAGGACCAACGGCTTTATTGGGCCTTAAAAGTGCTGTGGGACCGTCCATAAAATGTTTGTCCTTTCTTAATGCAAACCGCTCCAATCTTTAGGCTGAGGACCAGCCCTGCTCTCCATTGGTAGTCCCAGTATAAAGAGCCAGGTGCGACCCCCTACTGTATCCTAGCAACATCTTCACCAAGCCTATCCTTGGCTCCTCCTGCTGATTTCCATGCTACTGGCTCTCTCCTACGTCCTTGGGCCTCACTTTGTCCAGATCTGAGGTGATCTTTCTGCTCTTTAGCTGTTTCCTGGCATGGCTCCTCTTCGCTATTCCAGTCACCAGGACAGTCTCTGCTTCCCATTCCCAGATGGGAACCTGTCTTGAGCAACCGTCCACCAACGCCGATCCTCACTCTGCCCTTGCATTTACCATGTCCCCGAGATGGAGACAGCTGCTCCACAACCACAAGCCTAACCCTGACTCCAGACTCTCAGAGATGTTTCCTCACCTCTTACACTGATCTTGAGGCAAACTTGCTGGCCACGCTGACCTAAATCCAAGCCTGAGGGCTCCCACCTGTAAAGCCAGGAGGGAAAAACTGAAAGTTCTTCCTGTCACTTCTTAAGCTGAACTCTGCAACTGTCTGTGTGTCCCTGTCCGTGATAGACACAAACAAGGAATCAACATGTCCACTGGAGAACTATGACGGTGAGCATAGCAGCTTACTGTCATCTTGTCTGTAAATACCGGTTAGCGTGAAGGCAGCACAGATGAATGAGACACAACACCGGGCGGGCAGGCTTACCAACAGGTGACTCCCCGTGTCATAGCATCGGAATCCACTGGGAAGATCAAATACTTCAAATTTAGATGGAATGAATTTACTCTTGCTGAGGTGTGAGGACAAGGTTTGACGCTACACCCATCAAGGCAGCCAAGTGTCCATCATTTCGGAGGCTCCCCCGGGGTGATGCAGGCGTCCGTCCTCCTTGTCTGGCTTCCTCAGTACCCTCCACTAATTAAGCGGTTTCCAAGGCAGCAGGCTGTGATACCCACAAGGAAGGCGGTAGTGGCGAAGGGGGCTGACGGGGTTTGCGGAGGTGGGCATCACAGAAGCCACTGCTGTCTTACTCCCCTTGGTTCTCATTTCCACAGTACAGTAGTAACAAGACCACTTCATCCCAGCCCCACAGAGATAAGCAGAAGCAAGCAGTTAAATAGCAAGCAAGCAGAAAGCAAGCGGCTTAACGCCTCACAGCAGGAAGGCTTATCTCACCTGGGAGCCAACTAGGGTCTGTCGGGCATTCCAAAGCAAAGGTCAACCGCCCTTAAGGGACGCCTGGTTACCACACTAAATTGCTTTGGCCATCACAAGGGAGTGGTGTGTAAACCACTACACTCTGGGGTAAGTGTCAGTAACTGACAGTCTAGAGCACCTGGGGTCAGGACTTCCCCACAGAAGGTCTAATCCGGGCTGTGAATCTGTGAACGTGGTTTTCCAGAGGAACAGGGTGGGTTGGGGTTCTCCATCAAGCATTAAGAACAGCTGGGGTTGAGCAAAGGTGAACAGCAAATGGTAAGTGATGTCTCGTGGTTTCCCTGTAAGAATCCTTGGAGAATGGCACACACAGAGAAAGGCGGATCTCTGTGAGTTCAAGGCCAGCCTGATGTACAGAGCGAGTTCCAGGACAGGCTCCAAAGCTACACAGAGAAACCCTGTCTCGAAAAACAAAACAAAAATCCTTGGAGAAGCCTCAAGAAAAAGAATGACATATAGAAACAAGTATGGAAAACAGTGAATGCCCAAGGGAGGACTTTAGCCTCCAGTCCGGCCTCAAACCCTGAGACCTGCGCTATCCAGCAGCATGCAACTGCGGAGCGCTACACAACCGAAGACTTCCAAGTAAAACATCTCGTTCGTATTTCGTATCAGTTACACGCTCGAAACTGCCCCATTTTAGATCTAGTGGGTTAAATTAAAATATACTGTTAACTTCACCCAATTATTTTCACTGATCACAGATGCAACCGCCAGAACCTAATTCCCTTCCTTATCCTTTTCCCCATTGTCCTATGCTTCCAAAGAACCCTCAGACTGGCAAGGCAGCTCAGCAGGTCGCTATCTCCTTTTACAAAGAGGTCGCTGGAAAATCTGGGGTATGGTTTGCGCCCTTCCTTCCTACACCCCCTGGTCCATTATCTATACTTCTGTCCAATTGCACACCACTCATTAGTCTCGGTGTACACACTGGAAAGTTAACTGAGGGAGCTTCATCATCCTTGCGCAGTGACTTCCTGCTGATGGCTGCGCCGGGATCACCCATGCTCTGTAAGCAAAACCCAGTAAACTCAATGGTTCCCCAAAGTGGGCTTCGATGGAACTGTACTTTGTCACTCGGCCCTGTAAGGAGGGTGCAGACGTACGTTACACACACACACACACACACACACACACCCTTAAAGGGGAAGTTTCTAAACGGGGTGAACACTGCCTACTTAGTGTGGGGAAAAGATGGAAATGTAGCTATGTGAGTTTCGTCCTGAGGCGCTGTAACCCCTCCCTCCCAAGTGGCTGCAGTCTTGGCCGGCGCGGATTCCTCCTCGCTCCGTTTCTTCTCTATGCATACCACGGACACGTAAACAATCAACCCCGAATGGTGGCGCTTCCCTGGCACCTACGCATGTCGATCAGACCGCACTCCCTCTCTTAGCGCGAATGACGTTTCCAGCGGCCAGCACTTGACATCTGGCAAACACGGGCCTGACCCAGAGCCGCCAACCCGCCACGTACGTGTCCCCCGTGCAATTCGTAACTCCTGGTGCACATCGCCCCCCCCCGCTCCCCGCCCCCTGGAAGCTTCAGGCAGCCGCGGGGCCTCTTCCCTGCAGCGGGAGCCGCGGGTGCAGCGGGAGCCGCGGGTGCAGCGGGAGCCGCGGGTGCAGCGGGAGCCGCGGGTGCAGCGGGAGCCGCGGGTGCAGCGGGAGCCGCGGGTGCAGCGGGAGCCGCGGGGACCCGAACCCGCCCCCCGGAGCTCTCACCGCGTCCTCCGGATCGCCGCACGGATCGTCGCGGCCTGCTGGGGCCTCGCTCGCGGCTCGCGCCTGCCCGGCTCGCACGGCGTCCTCGCCGGCGCCACCGCCCCTGCCGCCCCGCAGACCGCGCCGCCAGCTTCCGCGCGGCCACCACCCCCGGGTCCTAGCGCCCGCCGTCGGCTCTCCGACTTCCGGCCTTCAGGAATGCTGGCGGGCAGCGCCCACTGCAGGGATCGCCCTTCTCTCTGGGCTGGCCCAGGTCCGCGCGTGAGCCTCGGGCCTCTTCCGTGTCCGCCCGGAAAACCCACGCCCTTCGTGCGCCCTAGCACTGGGCAGCACGTGGAAGACCCCTCTCCTCCAGCCGTGCACACTCAACTGGCTGGACCCAAGGCTTAGAGGATAGCAGGTTTCCCTGTGCTTACGGGCAGTAAAGGCCCTTTAAAAAGTCAGTGAGGGACCGAACACACACGGATGATTTGACCTGGAGTAGTCAAAGTCTGCATACAATCAGACTGTAGACTACGGCGTACTAGGAATGGACTGCGGGTGTGTGTGTGTGTGTGTGTGTGTGTGTGTGTGTGTGTGTGTGTGTGTGTTAGAGGCAAGTGAGTCTTCCCTATTCCTTCTGTATCCCGCATACTACCTTTCATACTAGCCTGAGAGTTAGGGGCAAAGGAGCCACACTCAGCCTACATCTGATGAGTTTTTAGTGAGGCAGCAGCCACGAGACAGAAATCTCCCCTCCCCAGCTGAAAAGTAGGGAAGCAATTACAGGCCTGCAAAGATTGCCATAGCAACCAGGAGACGCTTTTTAAAAAAAACATTTATGTGTAGAGTTCCTTGAGAGACAGCTCAGAGGTTAAGATGCTGACTGCTCTTTCAGAAGATCCAAGTTAGGTTCCCAGCACCCACTTTGTCTACTCATAATCAGCAGGGTCCAGTGTTCTTTCTGCCTTCTCTGTACATGAACCAGGACACAGTGGGCGCATCAGGGACCCTACAGTTACCTGGTTATGCTGAGCCACTGTTAGGTAGGTAGGTTAGGTTGTGAGCATCTGATACTGAAGGCAATGTGATGTGGGGAAATTATGAGCTATAAACTCGTAGGGAGGGGGCTTCCGCTTGGAAGCTGGGGGCAAGGGTCTTCTGGAAGGCAGAGAGCTCTTAAAAGCAGGGTTGGTGTCTGTTTGGCCAACAGAGGCAGGAAGATAGGCGGGACTAGGAGATGAAAATTCCCGGAAAGGTAGGCAGAGAGGCGCTGCAAAGAGTTGCCATGTAGGCACCAAAGGAGTAACAGGTGCAATAGGTCCCGGCATTCTCCGGTGAGTCAAGACCACATGGAAATACATAGATTTATAGAAGTGGGCTAATGATTAAGACAGAGCTAGCCGATAAAAAGCCGTAGCCATCGGCCAGCCATTTAAGAATCAATATAGCGTCCTTGTTGTGCTTGTTTGAGGCTGAGAGGGGCAGCAGGACAAGAAAACTCTGGCAACAAAGCTGAAGTTTCTATTGGTGGTGAAATCCTTCATCGCTTTTCTCCCGCTCCAAGTTCAAAAGGTGTAATGTTCCTTTTGTCCTTTGAAACAATCATACTATGTAGCCCTGGCTGGCCTGGAACATACTAAATAGACCAGGTAGCCTCAAGCTCACAGAGACCTACCTGCCTTTGTTCATGGAGTCCTGGGTCTACAGGTGTGTACCTCCACATTGAGCTGTGTTTAAGTTTCTGTATTAGCATATAGAGTTTCTTTTATTGACTTAAGTCTGGTCACACACACTGATATGTTGTGATATTTTTCTAGGAGATGTGTTTTCCTAGAATGTTGGTCTGGAGTTACCAAGTCGTTGAGACTAATCTGTATGTGTTCAAATTGAATACGGCTGTTGTTTCCTTGGGTGCCGCTGCAATTTTGTTGATAATTTTGAAGGCATTCTACCCTGGGTTAACCAGTGGGAAACACACCCCATGTTTGTAAATGGGCTTCTCTTAGCTCCTCTCTAATTAAGAGGTGAAATGCCTGATAATAACCTACTCCATGGCAATCTGGCATGAACTTTTTTTCCCAACCCAAACCCACTTTTTTGTTTGTTTGTTTTGTTTTTCAAGACAGGGTTTCTTTGCATCGCTTTGGCTTTGGAGTCTGTCCCAGAACTCACTCTGTAGACCAGGCTGGCCTCAAACTCACAGAGATCTGCCTGCCTCTGCCACCTGAGTGCTGGGATTAAAGGCATGTGTCACCACTGCCCTGTCCAAACTCACTCTTTAGGTGGAGCTAAGTAAGCAACGAAGGCCTGAACCCCAAAGGACCTGGAATGAAGGACAGGAGACAGGAGAAACCGAAAACCGGCAGCAAGACAGGCTTTCTGATCAAGCTGCAACTTTTTATTTTTCTCAAGCATGTTATATACAGTGGTTAGGGCGGGGAAACTAGGTAAGATGGGAACTCAGAGGGGGAGGTTGTTACCTGGTAACCAGACTGCAGGATGTTCTTAATCACAGGTCATTGAAGGTGAGCAGGGTATTGGCTAGGAGGAAATGCAGGTAGAGATAAGCAGGGTGTTAGCAGGGGAAGAGGTCTCAGGTTGCCAATACCCTAACTGCATAAGGAGGGTTACCAAGTAACCTAACTGCACTCCTGTAAGCCCCAAACTCAAGTCCTGGCTGTTGTGTCTGTAAGTCCTGCTGGAGTGTCCGTGGGTCTGTAAGTCCTGCTGGAGTGTCCGTGGGTCTGTAAGTCCTGCTGGAGTGTCCGTGGGTCTGTAAGTCCTGCTGGAGTGTCTGTAAGTCCTGCTGGAGTGTCTGTAAGTCCTGCTGGAGTGTCCGTGGGTCTGTAAGTCCTGCTGGAGTGTCTGTAAGTCCTGCTGGAGTGTCCGTGGGTCTGTAAGTCCTGCTGGAGTGTCCGTGGGTCTGTAAGTCCTGCTGGAGTGTCTGTAAGTCCTGCTGGAGTGTCCGTGGGTCTGTAAGTCCTGCTGGAGTGTCTGTCAGTCCTGGCTGGCAGTTGTCCTGGATGCAGATCATCGAGGAGGCTGCGGCTGAGTCACTGAGAGGCTCATCACCTGTGCTTTGGTTTTGAAAGCACACGAACCAGTGAAGGCAGCGTGCGCAGGCCACCGCCCTCCCGCACCGGCCAGACAGGAAGGGGCAAGGAGCGCTCCAAACCTGCCGGAGAAGCCGCTGCCGGCGCCTGTCGGGGAACTCGCTTTCTCAGGCCCCGTGCCCGCGCCCGGGAAAAGGCCGCACGCCCACCGCGCTCTCCTCGCTGCGCCGCCGTGCGCTTTCCCGTCGGGCCTGGGCCTTTAAGGGACTGGACCGTTCCGGGCCCGCCCCCCGTCCCAGCAGCCCCTGCGCGCCCCCGCTTCCGGAGTCGACACCCCCGCTTCCGGACACCCTGGTCGCGCAGGCCCGGGCCGGGCGCGGGGGCGCGTGCGCGGTGCGTGCCGGGCGCGGGGGCGCGCGCGCCGGGCCTCCGCTCTCGTTGGTCGGGGCTGAGCCTAGAGCGGCCGGGGTAGGAGAACCGCGAGCCCCGCCATGTTCTCCTTGGCGCTGCGAGCCCGGGCGGCGGGCCTCGCCGCTCAGTGGGTAAGAGGCGCGGGCTGAGCCCGGGCGCTGTGGCCACGGTGGGCCGCTCCTGGGTGGCGGGGAGAGTGGCTGCGCTCGGGGAAGGCGACCCGGGGGTCCCGCCGCCAGCCACGGCCGGTCCCGCGCTCTCTTGCGCCTCGTTGCAGGCCAAGGCGTGACCGATACAGGAAAGGAGGCGCCTTCCGTTGGCTGCTTGGGCTTCGTTCTCCTGACTGCAAACAGAATTGAAGGCAGTTCTCAGTAACGGACCAGTGTGTCACAGGGTAGAATTCCACCCGCGGCTCCGGGGTTAGACCTGCGGTGTGGAGGAGGCTGGCATCGCCGGGGTGACCTTGCGAAGTTAGGGCTGTGACCCAGAGCAGCTTGCTTGCCTCTTTGCTTCGGCTGCTCGGAAATGGGAGTGTTCTCGTTCGCAGTTGAGTCTGTCGGTAATCATTTGAAGCCTCGCTGTGGGTAATCCTGCGGATTGGATTACAGTGGGGTTTTTTTCCTTTTTCTTTTGTCGTTGTTGTTTTCGAGACAGTTTCTCTGTGTAGGTCTGGCTGTCCTGGGAGCTCGACCTGTAGTCCAGGCTGGCCTCAAACTCAGAGATCTGCCTGCCTCCTGAGTGTTGGGATTAAATTGCTATTTAAGACTAGGTCTCACCATGCAGCCCTGGCTGGCCTGAAGCCTGCTAAGTGTGCCATGCTGGCTTTGAACTCCTGCCTCCCCTCCTAAGTGCTGAGATTGCGGTTGTGAGCCCATGTCTTGCTGGAGTAAGATAATGAGCGAAGTGGTCTTCGGTAGCTCCTTTCCTGTGTGCTGAATATCTGCATTTTACATCGTATTGTTGAGTTTGGTGCAGCGTTTTCATCAGTCAAGTAAGAAACAGCTCCTTGTGGGGTTATTTCATGTAAGAACATCAATAAGGCACGTATGAGTACGGTTGGTCACATCTGAAGTCCCAGCACTCAGAGGCAGGAGGATCAGAGTCTGGGTCATCGTTAGTAAGTTCAAGGTTAGCCTGAACACAATATGCCCAACTCAGATTCAAGTCCCCTACATCAACAGAAGGTAAACATGGTAGACTAGTATAGCAAGGAGCCAGATAAAGGTTTACAGTAGAGGGTAAGGGTTCTGCTTCGTGTGGGTAGGAGTGAGAGCAGAAAAGGTCTGATTGAAGCACCTCAGTAAGAGGGGCTCCTGCTAAATACGCAGATGACGAGGGTGAGGCTGCCCTCCAGAGGTAAGGGCATGAAAAGTACCACAGAGAGCAGCTGCTCGCTCCCTCTTTGAGGCAGAGGGCAACAAGAGGTTAAATGTTGAAAAGCAAGATTTTGTTTTGGGTTTTTGAGGGGGTTTCTGTAGCCCTGCCTGGCTAGGCCGGTCTCAAACCCACATCTGCTTCTGCCTCCCAGTTGCATAGTCCACACACCTGTCCTGAAAAGCAGTTGAACAGTGAAAAATAAGGAACTGTAATAAATGTTTTTGCAATTCAGAAAATAGTACATAGTACAGTTTCAATAAGTTTATTGTGTAATCAACATAAGAAAAATGGGATATTGGGGGCAGCAAATAACTCAGGACATATGAATTACCTCCATTATCTTTTTCATGTCTCTTATCTTCAGACCAGGTATACACACATAAGCTCTCTCTCTCTCTCTCTCTCTGTGTGTGTGTGTGTGTGTTACATTATATGCCTGTTCATCCAAGAGGAAGATGTCCATTGTCTAATGCTATTTCTCTTTGTTTTATTGCCTCGAGACAGTCTCTCACTGAAACAGACACTTTTGGCCATGATGTTTCTTGGGATTCTCTTTGTGCCTAGCAATGTGCTCCTACTCATTTTTATGTGAGTTCTGGGGGACTGAGCTCGGGTCCTCATTTTGAGCTCTAAGCCGTCTCCCCAGCCCAAACTTTAATATATCCTAACAAAATTTAGAAGGAACTGTTCATGGTTGTGTAACTTTTCCCCCCTATAATTTCCAGACGTACTTTTTTAGATGGGGGTGGGGACAGGGTCTCATGTAACCCAGGCTGGCGCCAAGCTTGCTATATGTCCAGTGATGGTTTGAACTCCTCATTCTCTTTCTGGGATTACAAGTCTGTGCTAGCTACCATGCCTCTTTTCTTTTAGATAATTATATGTATATGTGTGTTTGAGTTTGCACATGCACTGACCTCCTGGGAGCTGAAGGCATGGTTGGTTGAGAGCCACCATGTAACCCTCAGGTCCTCTGCAAAAGCAGTAAGGGCCCTGCCCGCTGGCCCGCTCTCTAGCCCTGATGGTTTTGAGGCAGGGTCTCACGATGCTCCAAGCTGCTGTGGGGTTCACTGATTAGTCCTGACTGACCACTGGCTTGCAGCGATTGGACCTCAGCCGCCCAGGTACTCACTACATTAAATCAGCTAGCTTGTCAGTGTGCACATCTGAACCGTCCTTGCTCTTTTAACTCTGTGTGTGTGTGTGTGTGTGTGTGTGTGTGTGTGTGTGTGTGTGTGTGTGTGGACACTTGCCATGTTGGATGTAGAGGTTGAGGGACAGTCAGTCCTCTGGTCACTAGGCTGGCTTTGCTGGCTCCACTGTACTGTCATTTAATGACAGATAGCCTTGCATTGATGGATGCTGTCTGTGTGCCTTGTATGGCCGGCCTTTACTTTTTCACAAATAGTGGGGTGTCAGAATGAACTTACCAAAAATCAAAGGAGGAGTAAGGTCTAATTAAGGAAACTCTTTTCTCGAGAGAAACTTTGAGCACATACGTTTTTCTTTTATTTCTAGATTATGCGCGTGTGGATAGCTATGAGACTAAGCGCCTTCTGAGATCAGAAGTGGGTTTTGGGCTCTGAGCTTGAGCTGCAGGCAGTTGGGAGCTGCCTGATGCAGGTGTTGGGAGTCAGATCCCCCCTGGAAGAGAACCAAGTGCTCTAACTGCTGAGCCATCTCCCATTACATTTTCCAAAGAAGGTTTGAGCCCCGCCCGTGTGCAGATGAGCAGGAGACAAACGTTTGTCCTGGCTGTGACTGTGAGACACACAGGCTCCGAATAAGCTTCTGTTTTCACCTGGGTGCTGGCCACAGTATCCTGTAGCACTGACACACTTTACAAATCAGTACAGCCCCAAGCTACAGCTTTCTATTTTGAGGTGCTGTTACATAGGCACTACATTCTAATTTACTTCCTTAAGGAATGTGCATCTTCTTTGTCGTGACTGGTAGACCAAATATAGGTTTTATTCTTTAGCTGGGCTGCTTCGAGTCTGTCGATTACAAAGGGCTCAGCAGAGCTTTGTCTGTAGAACTCTGCTCTTTTCTGTCTTGACACATCCCTTCCTGGGGTTTCTCGCTTGTCCATCCCTGAGGTTATCCGTTCCTTTGGTGGGTCAAGCCGTTTAAAACTGCTTGCCCTGCCCTTTGTAGTTTGAGCTGCCTAGCACAGGGCAGACTAGGGTTGCCTTCAGGCTAAAAGGAAAGGACCAAAATGTTGGTGTTGGCTTGGAGTATCTACTTAGCTGTTCTAGAAGTATGCCACCTTCAATCGTAGCTCTTTCCAGTTTTTTTTTTTTTTTTTTTTTTTTTTTGCTTGTTTGTTTTTTGTTTTTTTCGAGACAGGGTTTCTTTGTGTAACAGTCCTGGCTGTGTTAGAACTCACTTTGTAGTCCAGGTTAGCTTCTGGCTATCTTCTTGAACCTCTCAAGTATTAGGATTACAGGTATGAGTCACCATGCCTGGCTTACATTTGTGGTTTGTTTGTTTGTTTGTTTGTTTGTTTGGGATAGGGTCTCTCTAAGTAGTTCTGGCTGGCCTGTTGTGTTGGAGATATTTAAACCGAACTTTGCAAAATCACAGCAGACCCAAAAGAAATTTTTACCTTTCACATTAGGCATGTTGTGTATGCCTTTAATCCCAAAGGCAGCAGGGTCTCAGTGTTTTATGAATGTCAGCTTGAGCCACTTAGTGACCCTGTCTCAAAAGAAAGAAAAGGAAAAGAAAAAAGCCCAGAAATTTTATCTTAATGTGTATATGTCTGAAGAATCTTAAATCACAGATTTTTCTCAGCTATGATGGCTTTATGTAGTATACTCCTTAGTAAAGTGAAGATTTAATAATTACCTATTGAACAGTATAGCTTGGCAACATAGTATCCTATAGAGTGTGTGTGTGTGTGTGTGTGTGTGTGTGTGTGTGTTTAAATTTTCCTCTCTCAAGTTCCCCAGAGAAATTTTTACATATGATGAAGGACCAGATTGATGGGTGCTGTAGGTGTAGGTTTGGGTTCAGATTGATGGGTGCTGTAGGTGTAGGTTAGGGTTCAGATTGATGGGTGCTGTAGGTGTAGGTTAGGGTTCAGATTGATGGGTGCTATAGGTGTAGGTTAGGGTTCAGATTGATGGGTGCTGTAGGTGTAGGTTTGGGTTCAGATTGATGGGTGCTGTAGGTGTAGGTTAGGGTTCAGATTGATGGGTGCTGTAGGTGTAGGGTTTGGGTTCACATCTGAATCACTGGAGTAGTGTTCTCCGTTGATCCCAGTGCTGCCTCCTTGGGAAGAGAATGAGCAAAGTCAGGGGGCCGTGTTACTGGTAGTGATGTGGGGTGGGGTGGCGGGCTGGAATAGAAGCAGGGCCAGAGAATGCAGTAGCAGAAATAACAGTTAAAAATTACTCAGGTAGAAAATGTACGACTTAGTAATTAGTGAGAGGAAAAGGACCCTGAGATATTTTCCTCACATGGACTCACCTCCTCCCTGAATTAAAGGATTAAATGCTCCCCCCCCCTTTATTCATCTGTTTATTTTACATCCCGGATGCAGCCTCCTCCATCTTCCCTTCCCAGTCCCTCCCCCATACCTCTCCACACCGTCTTCCGTCTCCCTCCAGGGAAGGGCAGGTCTCCCATGATTATCAATAGACACAGCATATCAAGTTGCTGTAAGACTAAGCACCTCCTCATGTGGGCAAGGCGACCCCATATGAGGAGTCCAAAAGCCAGTGAAAGAGTCAGACACAGCACCTTCCCCTGCTGTTAGGAGTCCTACAAGAGGACCAAGCTACACTGTAACATATGCAGAGGGCCTAGCCCAGCCCCATGCAGGCTCCTGGCTTGTCCATTCTGTCTGTGAGCCCAGGTTAGTTGACCGTGTGAGCCTTCCTGTGGCGCCCTTGACCCCTCTGGGTCCTACACTCCTCTTCCTCAGCAGGATTCCCGAACCCGCCTAACAACTGGCTGTGGGTCTCTGCATCCGCCTCCATCAGTGCTGGATGACACCTCTCTGAGACAATTGGGCCAGGCACTAATCTGGTCAGGAAGATGGCCAGTTCAGGTACTTACCCACTGTTGCTAGGAGTCTATGCCCGGGTCCTCCCTGTAGACTCCTGGGAGATTCCCCTGAGCCAGGGCTCCACCTGACCTGAACCTGATGGCCCCTGTCCCCATCCCTACCTGCCTTCAGTCCACTCACAATCTCTTGTTAACCCCTTCCCTGGGAGAGCTGGGTGCGCCCACCACCCATGAACCCTCCTTGTTACCTAGTCTCTCTGGGTCTGGTATTGTGCTGTCCTTCCTGTGCGTCTTGAATGAAGGGGTTGTTCATGGCTTGGTGTGGTAATACATTATTAGCATGAATAACTTAGGAACATAAATTCCTCATGGGAACATCAGTGCTACTCCTACCCCCTTCCCACTTCCTTTAAGGAAGAGGGAACTTTACATATTAACTTCAGCAGAGAGTAGATGGTTTTCAGCTATATAAAATGCAATTTTATCAGGACAAATCACAGCCTAATTAAAATATAAAAAACCGTTACTTGCAAATGCAAGAAGCATTAATCTGTTCTGTTTTGATAATGGCTCTTTGTTACAGTTATAAACATGAGACAATTATCTGTTGTGCTATAAAAATTTACCTTAAATCTGTCTTTCAGTTATTGTCTCTGCTAAGTAGATAATGCTTTCACATGTTAGTTCTTCCCAAGTAATGGCACTGTCTTAAAACAACCCAATAAAAAAATATGAGAGATCAAGATCTTGCCTTTAATCCCAGCACTCGGGACAGAGGCAGGCAGGCAGGTCTCTGAGTTCAAGGTCAACCTCGTCTACATAGTGAGTTCCAGGACAGCCAAGGCTATGTAGAGAGATCCTGTCTCAAAACAAACAAACAAAAACCCAACTAAGCTTTAAAAATATTAAATGAGAAAAAACAAAAACAAAGAAAGCCGGGTGGTGGTGGCGGCGGCGCACGCCTTTAGTCCCAGTGCTTGGGAGGCAGAGACAGGTGGATCTTTGTGAGTTCGAGGCCAGCCTGTACAGAGCGAGTTCCAGGACAGGCTCCAAAGCAATACAGAGAAACCCTGTCTTGAAAAACCAACCAACCAACCAAACAAACAAACAAAAAAAAAAAAACACACACAGAAAAATAAAATTATTAATGAGGGTCTGGAGAGGTAGTTCAGTGTTTAAAAACACTGGCTGCCATTCCAGAGGACAAGAATTACATTCCCAGCGCCTACATGGTGTCTCACAACCATCTGTAACTCTAGTTCTAAAGGATCCAACACTCTTTTGTCTTCCATAGGACCATTCTTGTACATGGCGCACAGACATACATGCATGCAGAACACCTGTACACATGAAATTTAAATACTAAAGTGAGATTGAGAAATGGCTCAGCAGTTAAGAGCCCTAGTGCTCTGAGGACCAGTGTTTATTTCCAGGTACACGCTGGGCAACTCACAGCTGCCTATAATGCCATATCCTCTTCTGATCTTCATCACACACACACACACACACACACACACACACACACACACACCTACACCTACCTTTATATAGGCCTATATTCATGACATCCTCCTAGGATTACAGACAGGGCAATATCACCCCTGGCTACATAATGTTCTTTAAAAGTAAATTGTAAATTCCCAGAAGTATTACTGTGTTAAAAGATGTAAATTCTTTGAGGTTTTTCATAAATCATACTAGTTTGCTTCCCTAAAAGGCTTGTGTGAGTGTTTGCCCAATGCGTTAGCAAGCGCATTCTCCCATGCTCTCAACAAAATGGAATGTTATCTTTAAAAAAAAATCTCCAACCAAAACCTTTTCCTGATTTAAGCTGGGGATGTTTAAATGGCATGCTTTTAATTGCTAGTAAGTTTTTTAAATGTTCATGCTCTTTATTAATTTTTCTTATTGACTTTATGTATTTATAACCTCCCCAGGTGTTATTCTTTGTCACTAGAAGTGTGAAAGACTTAATATAGTTGTCAGCATAGGCAGTAGATGATGCCAGAAGGAAAAGAGACATGATAGAGGAGTAAGAACTGAGCCCGAAGATAGGAACCGTCAAGCTAGTCTGGTGTGAAGGAAGAGAGTCTGCTAAGGCCAATGTGAGAAGAGGGTTAGGTTCTTTGTCCACGTTAAACTAGCCATTTCTTACGTTACTGCACAGTAACTTTTTTCTTAGCATTTATTTAAGTGACTCTGTTTCAAATTGTTTTTACATTTTACTGTGTTCTCGATGGAGTGACTGCACTAACTGCTTTCTACTTAGTTTCATTTTTGCTTTTGGAGTGGTTTTGTTTTTTTTGAGACAGGGTTTCTCTGCATCTGTGGCTGTCCTGGAGCTCTGTAGAACATGCTGGCCTGGAAACCACTGCCTGAGTTAGTCTCTTTTTTCACAGCCTTGACTATGTCGCATTCTTTTTAAAAATTATATGTTTACAACAAGAGAAAAGCATAAGGTAGCAGTTGTTTATGCACTGACTGTCTCGTGGGAGGGGTATGGGAGAACATAGTTGAAGCAAAGCCCCTCTGGGAACTTCTCTAATCTACTTAAAATTGATATGTTATGCCTGTGCCTCGCAGTCAGTAACTAGGTATTTTATAATTAAAGCAAGATGTGCTGTGGAAATTTATTTCTAAGCTGAACTACACCTTTGATCTATGGCAAAGTGAAGTGTGTTGTTACTTCCTGTCACTTACACTTAGTCTTCTCTGGTAACCAGGTCCCCGCCTTGTGCTTCACAGACTCTGGAAATGGTAGGGTTTAGAATAACAGTGCAATTGTTTATGCTGGGGATGGCGGTACAGGAGAGGGACAAGAGAACAAAACACAGCAGGCAGGCAGGCAGGCAGAGCTTAGTGAGAAGTCTCCTTAGGAAGGGGAAGGGAAGAGAAAGGTAAAAAAGACAGAGAGAGAGAGGACAGAAGAGAAGAGGGAGACAGGGACAGTCCTGTCTGCCCCGGGGGACAGCGGGAAAGATAGTCCAGTGGTCAGGGGTCTTTTAAAGAGCTAGGGTACATACACCTGCCATGCTCAGGTGGGTGAGAGGCAAGGACAGGGTTACCACACTCAATCTAGTACCAGGGAGGCTGAGGCAAAGAAAAAAGCCAACCTGGGCTACATAGGGAGTATAATGTGACTCATTTGTGCATAGCTGTGACTCATATCACCATGTGCATTTACCATGTTTACTAATAGGGCCAGGTGTGATTTCGAAAACCTTTCATCCCCACTTGGGAGGCAGGGCAGGTGGATCTCTGTAAGGTCAGCCTGGGCTACATAGGGACCCTGTTTTAAATTGTGACTCTTCAAGTTCATGAAAATTTCTTAAAATTTTGAGTAAGTGTTGTTAATTATTTTTTAACGTTAGGGAAGACATGCAAGGGATCTGCATAAGACAGCGGTGCAGAGCGGTGCCGGAGGGGCCTTGTTTGTGGTGAGTAATCAAAACCCTCCTAATGCGGTGTCTTAAATGGTGGGGCATGTTACCACTGGCGGTAGAATCCTTGCCTAGAGTGTGCAGTGTTTGAATTAGACATGTGTGACTGAGCACAGACATGGGCACCGTGTCCATGCACGAACTCAAGAAGGTCAGAGGTGCTGTTGAACCGTAGGTACTGGTGTCACAAGCAGCTAGCTGTGAGCTGCTGCATGGGTGCTGGGAACCCAGCCTGAGTCCTTTGCAAGAGCACTAAGTCCTCAACCTCTGAGCTACGTCTCCCACCCAGACACACAAAACATCAACACCTGTGTCTGGCAGATATTGACTACTGTGGGGATCTAAACATAGCTTGTTAAACTTATTATAATAGATGTTTGGCTACAGCTGACCTTCTCAAATAGAAACTAACACCTGGGAACCTAGGAGACTGTAGGAATAAGAATTTGGGTTATTGTTTGGTAAAGTTACTATGAGCCCCAACCTGGTCGTCAGACTCCATGGTCTTAAAAGTCAGTCATGTTGGCTGGCTGAAGGTAAGGCCGTGACTCCAGAGTTTATAGTAATATAGTTAGGACATTACTACATAATAAATATATTACCTTACGAATTAGTTGGCCTCCTTATTTTTGGCTTCGCAGTTTTAACTCTAGGAGGTATCTACAAATGCCTCAATTTTGTTGTACAAGTCTGAAAGCTTTAGATGTTGTGTTTATTTATCTGATATGAGTAGTTTCTAGTGTTTGAAGTCAATGAAAACATGCACCATGATTTATGACTTAGACTTAGTAAAAAAACATTAAATTGGCCACATAGCTGAAATTATTGTCCAAAGCTTCCAATTTCTTTCCTCTTTTGATTAACACCTGCTGGGGGATGTCCTTCTGTATGCTGTGACTATGTGTTTTTCTTATTGGTTGATGAATAAAGCTGTTTTGACCAATAAACAAACAGGAAATCTAAGTAGGGACAGAGGAAGGTAGAAGGCGGAGTCAGGGAAGCCCCGTATAGATGCTAAGGGAGCAAGAGGCCCGAGCATCCCTGGTAAGCCAAGCAAGATTAATAGAAATGGGTTAATAATTATGAGAGAGCTAGTCAGTAAGACACCTGAGCCATCGGCCAAACAGTTTATAATTAATATACGCCTCTATGATGGAATTAAAATAGAGGTTAAATGAGCGGCAACAGTATAATGTAATGTACGGTAATACATATTTACATTTCAGGGGAAATGTTGATAATTTTGGGAAAAAATTTGTCTGTTTTTTTTATCTTCACATAGCATAGAGATACTCCTGAGAATAACCCAGATACTCCATTTGATTTCACACCAGAAAACTATAAGGTATGACTAAATGAACAGTGTGGATGATTTATCAAGGATTCCGTGCTCTCCTTTGTGTGATACGGGCGTTTTCCTTTTACAGAGGATAGAGGCGATAGTAAAGAACTATCCAGAAGGACACAAAGCTGCAGCTGTGCTCCCAGTCCTGGATCTAGCCCAAAGGCAGAATGGATGGCTGCCCATATCCGCGATGAACAAGGTACGGAATTCAGTTAGCCTCAGGAAGAGGAGACATCACCTGTGACAGCTTCCTTATGTAGAAATTATCAGAGTGACCATTAATATCAGCGTTCAGGAGTTTGCAACCCTTTAGTCTCTCTCTCAGAGGATGGATGGCCAGACAGACAGACAGACAGAACCTCCTTAGTGTGTTTTTGTCAGTTTCTTTAATGCAGTTTCGTTTGTTCCTTGCAGGAAAATAGACATTAATGTGAAATATCTGTCCCTCCCTCCCTCCCTCCCGTCCTCCTCCTGCGTCCGTCTGTGTGGTGTCTGCCCCCACCCACCTTTTGAGGGAAATTACTTAATGAGAAAAATCCCAAATGTGTATAGTTTAGTATGAACGTATTTTGAAAGTTAATGCAGTGTTTCAACAGTAAAATTACAGGGGGTAAAATCCCTTACCAAATGCAATCTATTAATATTTTTACATCTTTGGTTCTAGTCTTTAACAAAAGTCTGCATTTGGTTACCTTCAGAACTGCCAATCAACACACTTCTGCCTACTAATAAATACTGTAGGATTCATCTCTCTTCTTCCATGACAGGGTCTACGTGACACACTTAGCCCAGACTAGTCTTTTTTGTTGTTGTTCAGTTTGATTTTTGGAGACAGTTCTCTGTAGCTTTGGAACCTGTCCTGGAACTCACAGAGATCTGCCTGCCTCTGCCTTCCCAATGCTAGGTTTAAAGGCGCGTACCAGCACCGCCTGGCTTAATCCAATATAGTCTTAAACTTTTGCCAATCCTCCTGCCTCAACTACCAAGGCTAAGATCGGAGATGTGAAGATTAATTGCTTTCAAAAAGTTTCAGCAATTATCTTGATTTCAAGTCTACTTATATCCTGATAATACAGTAATTACATTCATGTGAGAATACAGCATTTCATTTACAAAGTGCCGTATAAAAACAATTCATTGTGCTTGACCATCTATCAGATATTTCTACTGTAGTTCACTCACTCTCATCATTTTCTAAATTTTATTTGGTTTAACTGTTAAGGTAGAATCACAAACAGGAACAAAAACAAAAAAGGCAATCATTCTTATTCGATGAATAGGAATAGACTTATCTAATAACCACAAAAGCAAATTGTAGATTGCATTGATCGTTCTATTTGCTTCATATTCTTCCCTGATACTGAAATGTGTTACAAAGCTTTATTTAACTAAATACTATCCTTGCTGTAGTGAAACGGAGCTGTAGTTACGCGGAAGAGCATTGGCCTGTCAACCCCAGCCCTGGGTTTAATCTCCAGCTCAGAAAGAAGGAAGAGACGAGAACTGTGTAATGTATAGTGCTTGTTAAAAGTGCTTCATCATTACTTTTTAAACACTTTAAAAATGCTTGAAGCCCAGAAGTCATGACTCATGGCTTCAATCCCAGCACTCAGGAGGCAGAGGCAGGAGGATCTCTGTGAGTTTGAAGCCAACCTGATCTACAGAGAGAGTTCCAGGACAACCAGGGCTGCACAGAGAAACCTGTCTAGAGAAACCAAAAGAAAAAAGTATATATGTGTACACATATTTTTTAAATTAAACTTAGTGTGTGATGTATGTGTGGACACATGCATGCCTGCATGTATGGAGATCAGAGGACAATTTTACAGAGTTGCTTGTGTGTGTGTTCAGTCCCGATTCGGTCTTACATGAGTCTCAGGGACCAAGCACAGGTCATCAGGCCTCTCTGGCAAACAAGGTCTTCTGTTTGCTCAGCCATCTTGCCATGGCATTGCATCTTCTTTTGAAAACTGTTTCAATAATGAGGAGTCTCTTAAGTCTTGGTCCTAAGGCTGCAGAGAAAGATGAAGTGACTGACTGTAGAGTGCCTAGAACCACACCTCAGCTAATAAACATAGTAATCGCCTCTCATGCTTTAACATTTTAGGTGGCAGAAGTTTTACAAGTGCCTCCAATGAGAGTGTATGAAGTGGCAACTTTTTATACAATGTATAACCGGAAGCCAGTTGGGAAGTACCACATTCAGGTCTGCACCACTACACCTTGTATGCTTCGTGACTCTGACAGCATACTGGAGGCCCTGCAGAGAAAGCTTGGTATGGGGCTTCATTTCTCCCGTTAACAAGACCAAGATCAGCCAGGGTGTGGTGGGGCACTTAACCCAGCACTCGGGAGACAGAGGCAGGCGGAACTACAAAGTGAGTTCCAGGACAGACGGGGCTACATAGGGAAACCCGGTCTTGAAACACCTCCGCTACCCGTGTGTACATACCTATAATGTCAGCACTCAGGGTGCTGAGTTCTAGGTCAGTCTAGGCTATCCAGTGAGCTCTGGGTCAGCCTGGGCTATCCATTAAGAACCTAGCGCGACAGCCTTCTCTCTATACTCCCTGCCCTCAGATAGAATCACCTTTCTTCTGGAGCTGACATTTTCTCCTTTAAATTTCAACCCCAATGTAGTGTACTCTCTTGGTACTTAAAAAACATATTTACTTTTAATTCTGTCTAGCTTGTGTTCTGATTCTCAGCTTCAAGTTTAAGCTTTTAATCTATGTTAATCATTAAGTATGTTTGTAAAGCTTCTAGGAAAATTGTCTCATATGTTATCATATGTCACAAAACAAAAAGACAATGCACGGGCTGGAGAGGTGGTGTAGGAAGAGAGCATGTGCTGCCCTTCCACGGGATCCAAGTTCGGTTCCAACCCAGCATCTCTTGGGCACCAGCACCTACGTGCATGAATATACACACAAATGCACATGTGCGCGCGCACACACACACACACACACACACACATACACATGCACACACTCAACTATAATCTCAAATGTCCATGCTCTTTTCTGAGCAACAGAATAAGTAACAGCATAGGAGTACTGCTTCACAACAAAGAAAATGTTAAATAGGTATAACTATAGCCTATTTATAAAACAAGTGGGCACTTCCATACAAGCTGCCATTTTTGAATCTTTAACTTTGTGAAGTTAAAGTATATACCCTTTCATTTTTCTCCCTGTACTAAAGACACAGCTTCACACTGGAGGGGAGGACTTTCACACTGGAGGGGAGGACTTTCACACTGGAGGGGAGGACTTTCACACTGGAGGGGAGGACTTTCACACTGGAGGGGAGGACTTTCACACTGGAGGGGAGGACTTTCACACTGGAGGGGAGGACTTTCACACTGACTTGCATCCTCAGCATACCCCCCCACCCCCCACCCCCGCTTCCTATTTTTACTTATTTTGAGGTAGGATATTACTGAGTTGACCAAGCTGTTCTTGCTGGTAGTCCTCTGCCCTCAGTCTCTCAAGTAGCCGGTCTTTGCCAATTGTGGCTTTTTCCCTCTTTAATACAAGTCCTTGCGTGTCACAGACACATCTGAGTAATGTTGAAGTATATAAGGCAGGAAGCTCAAGTTGACCCGTAAAACCCACCTCTGAGGCTTTTTTAGATTCTGGTAACTGCTTGGTATATTAGTTAAAGAAAGCAGATTTGTGTCCTGGTTTATTATGAAGCACATTACCTGTGCTTACACTGAGGTGACACTTTGGACTTTTGTGTAGCGGCACAGCGCTTGCTTGCATCGTTTTGCCCTTATGGAGTTACTCTGGTGTTCTCATGTGAACACACCTTTGCATGCTCCGCATGTTGTGTATTAAGACTGATTGTAAGAATCACGCTTGCCATGTTTTGCCAGTGTCTTCCCTTGAGTGTATGAGCGCTCATTTTCCTCACCCCCTTAATAATCTTTGATCCTGTTTTGAGTCTTTGCCAATCTGATAGTATAACTGTGCTATTAGCAGTCCGACTATTTACTTTTTAATAACTCTTTATTTGTATGTTTAAGTATGTGTTTGTGTAATACCCACAATGGCCAGACGGCTTGAGACTGGAGTTAGTGGCTGTGAACCATGTGTGGGTGCTGGGAACTGAACCCAGGTCCTCTGCAAGGGGCAGCTGGCGCTCTAACCACTTTGTAGTTTCTCCAGCTCCTGATTTTACTTGCTTCTTTGTTTTGAAGCTTGAGGACAATTTTGTTAGCTTAAAAGAAAAACCCCAAAGCAGGCAAGTTGTAAATACCTTCAGCTGCGTATAGGAGTGAGAGAAAAGAGGTAGGCATGGAGGTCTGCCCCGTGCCAGACAAGCGGCTGGGTGGTGAAATAGTTTAGTCTTACCACAATGTGAATGGAAACTGAGTATACACTGGTCTCCAGGCTTTAATTGCTGTTAAAGGAACGAGCCTGCTTAAGAAAGCTAAGCACTCTGGCTTTTGCCTATAGTCCCAGAGCTCTGGAGCCTAAGGCAGGCAGGTTGTCATTAGAGTCCAGGCCTGCGCTTCTATGTGAGACCCTGTCTCAAAAGAAAAAAATAAAAACAACAACAAAAAAACAAATACAAAAATCAAAAGACAGAAGGAAATGAGCACCATACTATTACTTATTCATCTATCCACCTATCCATCCACTCACCCACCCACCCATTCATCCATCCACTCACCCACCCATCCACCCACCTATCCATCCATCCACTCACCCACCCATCCACCCACCTATCCATCCATCCACTCACCCACCCATCCACCCACCTATCCATCCATCCACTCACCCACCCATCCACCCACCTATCCATCCATCCACTCACCCACCCATCCACCCACCTATCCATCCATCCACTCACCCACCCATCCATTCATCCATCCACTCACCCACCCACCCATTCATCCATCCACTCACCCACCCATCCACCCACCCATTCATCCACTTGCCCACCCATCCATCCATCCACCCCATCCTTCCACCCACCCAAACTTCCATCCACCTACCCATCCATTGAGACAATATCTTAACATACAGTACAGGCCGGCCTTGAACTTGAGATCTGTGTCTAACTTTGCAGCTGCTGATTTACATATGTCCACTGTCATGCACGGTTCTCTTTAAGGACATTTAATGCACATCACTTTTTATACCCTCTATAACATATTGTTGATATGTCGTTTTTCTTAAACCATATTGCTTTTAAGCTATAATCGATTTCTTACAGCAATCATTTACATTTTTTAGGAATAAAGGTTGGAGAGACTACACCTGACAAACTTTTCACTCTTATAGAAGTGGAATGTTTGGGGGCCTGTGTAAATGCACCAATGGTTCAAATCAATGACAACTACTATGTGAGTATTCAGCTTCACTAAGCTAATGTCCTATAGTATCCTACTTAAAATATGTTATTTCACGTGTTGATTCTTGAGTTACTCATTTAGAAGAGACTATTTGCTTAAGTATCTAGAAGGTTTTAAAAGAATTACCTTCAAATATTTTGTATTTTTGTACAGGATATGATAAACTTGAGTGTTTTAAATTGTAAAGAATTAATTATTTACGTATAGTGGAAACAAGATGTAAGGCAGCATTTTAGGGCATTTACTTAGATAATATTGTCTGTTGATTGTATTATTTGCAGAAAAAATTATACAGATAAGTAAAGCACCTCAAACCTTCTTTTTCTCTCTAGGTACTATCATTTCGTGTGGATTCTTATAGATGTTTTAAAGCTTTTTCTGTATGATCTGTAGTAATATGTCATATTGCTTAAGTTTTTAAAATAGATGAAATGTATAACATACCTCTATTACTGTAAAAAAAAAAATGTGCGCTGGTGTTTTGCCATAGATGTCAGGTCCCCTGGAACTGGAGTTACAGACAGGTGGGTGCTGGGCATTGAACCCATGTCCTGTAGAAGAGCAGCAGTGCTGTTAACCCCTGAGCCCATCTCTCCAGCCCCTTTGCTACTTTATACCTTACAGATTTTGTGCTTGTTTCTTTATCTTTGACCTGTAAGTTTTCTTGAGGTGTTTTTAATATCCAAGTTTTCTTCTTTTTTAAGTTTTATTTATTATGTACCATGTGGTTGCTGGGAATTGAACTATAGACCTCTGGGAGAGCAGCCAGTGCTCTTAGCCTCTGAGCCCTCTTTCCAGCTCCTACGTGTGGTTTTCTAGTTAGCATTTTGAAATTACTTGTTGGCCCAATTATATCATGGTTTGCAGTTACTTTATTTTGTTAGTTTATTTTTCTTTGTTTGTTTGTTTCTGTGTACAGCCCTGGCTGTTCTGCATCTCACTCTGTAGACCAGGCTGGCCTCTACTCAGAGTTCTACCTGCCTCTGCTTCCTGAGTTTAAAAGCGTGTGCCACCACCATCCAGCTTATTTCTTAGAAATAGTGTATAGAGATTCCTTGAGGTGTTTGTTGAAGATAGCATTTTCAATAATAGATTGACCTTACTTTTCTCCTGCTTCCAGAAATGCTAATGGTGCCTCCAAAGCTGATCTCTATACTTTTGCCCATTCTACAATGCCAAAGTTTCCAGACTAGAATTTTTTTTTTTCAAGGCGGGTACTTTCTAGCTTATCCTTATATTAAATATACAGGCTTCTTTGAATCTTAATTTTGTGTGTTAGGTTTGTCATGAAGATTTTTTTGTGTGTGTGCTCATCTGGGGTCTTGTTTTTTGATATTTTTTGTTGGGTTTGGCCTCTGTTATATCTTCCTCAAATAGGAATTAGACAGGACTTTGTATGAAGCATAAATATTGATACAGTAGTCTAGAGGCTTTTTTTGTTTGTTTGTTTGTTTTTTGTTTTTTTCCCCTACTTAGTAGTTAGAGCTTTAAACTCGGGCCTCTGCTTATTCATCACAACTCCCGACGATCATTACCCCTTGTACTACAGTGTCTCTTCAGGGTTAGGGTTATTTTCTTGTTTCTTGGCACTTCTCTACTTTTTATTGTCTTACTGTTCTTATGGCTGTGAAGAGACACCATGACCAAGGCAGCGCTTATAAAAAAGGAGAGAGTTTAATCCGTGGCTTATGGTTTCAGGTTTAGGAAGCAGGGCAGCAGGCAGGTGCTGGAGTCCTAGTTGAGAGCTTCACCCTGCTCTGCAGGCAGGGAGAGGGAGGGAGGCTGGGCTTGGGGTGAGCTCTTGGAACCTGGAAGCCCACCCCAGTGGCTTCCTTCAGCCAGGCCACACCTGATTCTTTGAAAAAGAATTCACATAGATGGGGGACGGGGTGCTATTCTTATTCAAGCCATCACTTAAGTAAATCCTCAAAAACAAGTTCAGAGTGAGTTAATCAGTCAAGGAACTTGAGAGAGGCAGGGAGACAGTGGTGGGTGGTGAGGCCAGACCTTAGATGCAGAGCTAAAGCTTTTGGTGTGTATGTATTGGAATTGCTCAGTTGTAGCTGTCTTGGCAAATAAATGAATTAATTTTAAGGATTTACAGATTCTTTTACAGCAATAATTCATCAGTGGTTTCTTTTTTTCTCCAGGAGGATCTAACACCCAAGGATATTGAAGAGATTATTGATGAACTTAAAGCTGGGAAAGTTCCAAAACCCGGGCCAAGGTATACCCGTTTATATAATAAACTATGATGGCATGCAACTTACATGAAGTATCATAAGCTTAATTTTAAGAATCTTATACTCATGTTCACAGGAGTAGAATGGAAGTTTGCATACCTAAAGCTGTCATCTGAGTAAGATATACTTTTAAAAACTCTATAAGATAAGGCTGGGGAGATGGTTCAGTGTTGGTAAAGTTCTTCCTTGTAAGCGTAAGGATTCGTGTTAGAATCCCAGAACATGTGAAAGCTGAGGGGGCATGGTGTCTGAGCTGTAATCCAGTGAGATTCCCAGCAGGGTGTCTAGCCAGCCTGGCTACAGCACAAGTGGACAGTTGAGCAGGGGACATTGGCGCCTTATGTAAGGTAGAGGATAATATAGGTAGGCACCTAACATTGACCTTGGGCCCCAGGTGCACGTACATGTGCAAACATGCTTACATACATTTTATACACGTACATATCTGGGGGAAAAATGTTATCTGACCTCCCAAAACATCTATATTGAAAGAGACTCTTCTGCAAATAGAAGTTATAAGTTCATGTTGCTGGAAGGTTGCTCTGAAGTTAGCTTCCCAACCTCTTATTTCCACCTAAAGATCCAGTTTTCCCTCTCAGTTGTATAAATACAGGGCAATTTTAAGTATTTTAAAATTACCATGTTCACCAGTATAATGTGTATGTGAAGGTCAGAGGAAAGTTTATAGAGCTGGCTCTCTTACCCCTGTACAAAGAGTTCCAGGGACAAGATAATCTTTATTACTGTTTTTCCCTTAGTGCAAATTTGTTTAAATATCTCTTCGAAAAAATAGTTACTTTTCTTGAAATAGCTATCTTGTACCCCTCCTGTCTTTTTTTTTTTTTTTTTTTTTTTTTTTTTTGGTCACTGGGTCTTTAATTGATTATCCTAATGTGACATAGTTTGGTCTCTAATTACAGTACAGCCATATGCCACATAATGACATTTAATCAGCAACAGACCACAGATAGTTCCACAAAGTTACAGTAAAGCTGGGAAGTTCCTTTTATTAGAGACTCACTATATAGACCAGGTTAGCCTTGAACTCAGAGCTCTGCCTCAGAATGCTCAGATTAAAGGCATGTAACACCACACCTGACCGAATTTTTTTTAAGAAAGAATTTGTAAAAACTAATCACTAATATCACTACTTGCTTTTCTTTTCAGGAGTGGGCGCTTCTGCTGTGAGCCAGCCGGAGGCCTCACGTCTTTGACTGAGCCACCCAAAGGACCTGGCTTTGGTGTACAAGCAGGCCTTTAATTTATACTCAACTGTAAAATTGTTCCTGGAGAAATAAAATATGAACCTATCTACATATGCTTTATACTGTTTATTCCCACCTGTACACATGGTAGTAACCTAGCAACTTAAAGCTGTTAGAAACACCCCCCTAGTCTGTCTGTGAAGAATGTTATCATCAAGTACTCTAGTCACCCATCTTAACTGCCAGGTCATTTCTAGCAGTGTTAGCTTATTGTGAAGTAAAAGTTCTCTTTCCCATTTCTAGATGTGGCAAAATTTTCTGTTAACATTCTCTTTTTATAAGCTTTATATCAGTATTTCCTTTAAACATTGTAATATTTAAGCATACAGTTTTACTGTGTTTCTAACTGGGAAGGCCTCACTATTAGTAATGGGGTAAGAGGTTTTCCTCTAAAAGCTTGTATTTGTGCATGTTCTTTGAGACAGGCTTCCCATTCTGTAGCCCTGGTTGTATATGGACCACTGCCCCCACCCCCAAGTTTCGGATTACAGTAACAGCATTACTTGCAGGAAGAAAAGTTAGAACAATTTGATGTTACAGCATTACTTGTAAGAAGAAAAGTTAGAACAATTTCATGTTATCCTTGACTATAATCTTGTTTTCTTAGATACACTATTAGGCTCTCACTATTTAGACTGACCTGCCTTGCCCTTGCCTTCTGAGTGCTAGGACTAAAGGTGTGCCCCAGACACCACACATGGTCTTTAACTGTATAGTTTGGTTTCTTTGGCTACATTCTCAACATTGAATGCACACAAGAATTAATTGATGGAGTTTGTTAGCATGATGCATTTTAAAGATGGGTGAATGTGGACAACATGTTTGTATGAAACTATCACATTCAATTCAAAAAGGCGGTAATATGGTACCTTTGAAAAGTCAAATAGCTTTAATTCATTGAATAATCAGATCGCTTCAGGCTTTATCAATCAGTGGCCTTACAGGTGCCTCATTAGAGTAATAGGCACTTACAAGGCAGAGGCAAGTTGCTTCTGAGTTGGAGGTCAGCCTGGTCTATGTATCCAAGTCCATGTTAGACAGCTGCTTGGTGAGACTGTCGGGAGCGTGCACGCGCGCGCACACAACACACAACACACACACACACACACACAAACTTTATGTGCCTGGTACTCACCAGAGCCAGAAAGCGGCATTGGATACCCTGGAACTTAAATTGTAAATGGTTTAGAGTGGTCTTGTGAATGCTGGGGACAATTGAACCCAGGTGTTACAAAATAACACCAAGTGCTCTTAACCTCCAAGCATCTCTCCAGCTGTGCCTATAAAGCCTGACTAACTGGTTGTAATTGCGACTTAGGGGTTTAAGTTCTGTCTTTTAAAAGTTCTTGCTGAAACTACAGCTCTGCACTACATATTCCACTGTAGAGCCCTTGCTTGGCACGCCCACGGCTCTAGGTTCAGTTCCCGGTACATACAGTTGTCTACGAGGTTCCTAGAGTATTTTTTTCTCCACCATAGAGCCTATTGACCTAAAAGCAACTTTTTGTTTCTTGTCACCCATATCAAAGTTAGGTGTTATATTCCAATAGCAACCAAGTGCTTTCCTACTGTTCATACTGTTTTCTTTTTTCTTCATATGAGAGTTACCTAAGGAAGAAGATCCTAATTTTTTTACGCAGGTTTATGTCCCCATCAAGTGCAAAAGCCAGAATACTGAGGTTATGACAGTCTCAAGCCTGTCATTGAGGTACTAGCGGATACCGAAGGAGGCCACAGTTTAACGATGAGGGAAGAGGATGGTTTCCTGGAGCTGTAACTTGGGTGGTTAAGGCACAACGGTTGCCGGCTAACCGCTGCAGATAAAAGCCTTCAGAGGAAGTCTGGGCACAAGCAGCTTGAGACGCTGACATTTCCTCACGCACCCCTCGAGACTCAGGGTCCCAGGTGGACAAAATGTGCTGAAACTTCAAAATGGTGGGAGGATCGATCGCGTGGTCACCGCGGCGCTCTGGGCACCGGGTGCGGCCGGCCGGCCGGGGGAGCAGCTCGGGGCGCCGCCAGCAACCCCAGGCGGCCGTGCGCGCTTCCTCGCTTCCTCCTCCGCCGCCGCCTCCTCCTCCGCCGCCGCCTCCTCCGCCGCCGCCGCCGCCGCCTCCTCCGCCGCCTCCTCCGCCCCCTCCTCCTCCGCCTCCTCCTCCTCCGCCGCCGCCGCCGCCTCCTCCGCCGCCTCCTCCGCCGCCCCCTCCGCCGCCCCCTCCGCCGCCCCCTCCGCCTCCTCCTCCGCCGCCGCCTCCTCCTCCGCCGCCGCCGCCTCCTCCTCCGCCGCCGCCTCCTCCTCCGCCGCCGCCTCCTCCTCCTCCGCCGCCTCCTCCTCCGCCTCCTCCTCCGCCGCCGCCTCCTCCTCCGCCTCCTCCTCCTCCGCCTCCTCCTCCGCCGCCTCCTCCTCCGCCGCCTCCTCCTCCGCCGCCTCCTCCTCCGCCGCCTCCTCCTCCGCCGCCTCCTCCTCCGCCGCCTCCTCCTCCGCCGCCTCCTCCTCCGCCGCCTCCTCCTCCGCCGCCTCCTCCTCCTCCGCCTCCTCCGCCGCCGCCCCCTCCGCCTCCTCCGCCGCCTCCGCCGCCTCCGCCTCCTCCTCCGCCGCCGCCGCCGCCGCCGCCGCCGCGCGCCCCGCTCCTCCCGGGAGCCCGCGGACGGGCGCGCCGGGGGCGGGGCACGGCGGTCACGCCGCCCGTCCCGTGCCTGCGGGGGTCACGTGCCCGCCGCGGTCACGTGCTCGCGCCGCAGCCAATCGCGCGGAGCGCTGTCCGGGAGCAGGGAGGCTGTGGCGAGAGACCGGCCGCGACCGGAGATGTTTTCGAGCCGGGCCCCGGCGGCGTCAGGGGCTGCAGCGGCGGCGGCGGCGGAGACGGCGGCGGCGGCGGCCACCGGGCGGCCCTCGCTCAGGCGCTGAGGCCCCGTGCGCCCGCCCAGCCTCGCGTCCGTGCGGGCCAGGGGGGCGTGGCGACCGCAGGGGAGGCAGGAGGGCGCGGTTTGCAGCGCGCCCCGGCCGAGCCGAGCCGAGCCGGGCCGGGCCGGGCCCGAGCGCCGCGCAGCCGAGCCCAGCGCAGCCGAGCGCAGCCGAGCGCAGCCGAGCGCAGCGGGCCGGGCGCCGGGAGGACGCCCGCAGCCGAGTCAGGTAGGGGTTGCGCCTCCGCCGGCCGCGCCCAGCCGCCGCGCGCAGCCCGGCCCGGCCCTGCCCGACCGTGACGGGCCGCGGGTGGGCGGCCGCCCCGCCCGGCTCCCCGACGGGCCGGGCGGCCGCCCCGGCCTGGCCTCGGCCGCGGCTCGCCGGAACATGGCGCGGCCGCCGGCGCTCCGGTGCGGACGGCGTCGCGGGGGCGCGCCCCGCCGCCGCGCGCTCCCGGTGCCCGCCCGGCGCGCTGGCGCTGGCGCTGGCGCTGGCGCTGCGTGCGCGGATGTCGGCCGCCCGCTCGGTCGGTCGGTCGGTCGGTCGGTCGCTGGGCCGGAGGAGGCGCGGTGGTCCCGGGAGAGGTGCGTGGAAGCGGAGGGGCGCCGGCCGCGCGGAGCCACTTGGGTCCCCAAACGCCGGCGCGACCTGCCCGGCCGACGGCTCTGTCTCAGCTTGTGCCGGTTCCGGTTGGAACGGTGTTGAGAGACCCTGAGAGCACGTTGGAATCTTAGGTGTGATTTTTGAGAGTAAGGTGGGATGACGCACCCTTCAGGATCCAAAGCGTTGAACAAACGGTTTGTACAAAGAGGGTCGCCCGAAGCCCAGCTGCCAGCTGCTTTGGGGAGCACGGGGAGAGTCGTCGAGGATGGAAGGGGACAGTGTTGCACTAGTTGAGCGCGTAGGACACCTCTGAAACGGTATGGTTGTCGGGGCTGTCGTTTCCGCCGGACACCCCTTTGAACTGGGGTGAAGTGTGTTGCAAATCCCGCCACCAGTGACGCCCTCGGGATCATCACCGATTCTGTGGTTGAGAGTGTTTCTTCTTGTTTTAAAATGGTCTGAGTCGGTTATAAGGGAAGACTGAGCTGTTGGAGTAAGTCATCTCTTCACTAAAAACATAGGCTGTTGAAGATGCTGGTCGCTGATGTTTCTCAGTTCATCAGCCTTCACACAAAGGCTTTGCTGGAGATTAACTCACTGCTGGCGATGTGTGCCCTGGTGGTGCGTTAGAATCGCCGCTGTAGCCTTATATTACCCTTAAAGGACATTTCACTGTCACATGTAAATGTTTAATACGTTTGTTTGCGGGTGTGGAGGCCAGAGGACAACTTCCTAGAGTTGGTTCCTTACACTCTGTGGGTCCCAGAGCTCCAACTCCAGCTCTGGATTTGGTGGCAGGTAGCTTTGCAGTCCCGAGCCATCGTGACTGCCTACTGTGAGCCTTTCGAGAGGCCTCTCATTTGGGTTAAAAGCAAAAACATGTAAAAATACGAAAAACTGTCCCCGGAGTTTATAGAGGGAGAAAGGCTTGACTAAAGAATCCTTGATGCTCCACACACGCACACATCAAATTCCTAAGGCTGTACCAAATAGCTGGGCTCAGCACAGGCTTGAACTGTAACTGGATGTTCTGTTTGGAGAAGGGAAACCAGAGGGATATCAGAATTAAAAGTAGAAACCCTTCTCATTTTCTTACCGTTTCTGTATTTTAAAGTTATTAATGTAGTTTATGGACTAAGCAGAGCTGAAACCCGTGGGAATCTGGGTGTGCATCCTGTGAGGTCTGTTTGAGGAGGAGTTAAGTAAGAGCAATAGTGAAAGAAAGAGATCAGTGGCTGGAAAGGTTCTGTAGTCTTGGTTTTTTTGTTTTGTTTATTTTCAAGACTGGGTTTCTCTGTGTACCTTTTGCTGGCCTGGAACTCTGTAGGCCAAGCTGGCCTTGAAATTACAGAGATCAGCCTGCTTCTGGCATACAAGTGCTGGGGTTAAAGGCCTGTGCTGCCTCCACCAATGATCGCCTTTGGTAGTGGCTCTCTAATATCCAGGAAAGCGTAATGGAAACAAGGAGTGAACTGGAAGAGAAGATGATTTTATCAAGATTACGGTGTTGCTGGGAGATGTATCTTGGGCAGTAGAGTGCT